GTTTTCAATGAGACGTAGGCCTAGATCTAGGCTAGCCTTAGCCTACACTTTGGTGTAGAACCAACACAGGTAATTCTAAAAGTAGAAGGTCACAAACTCAAACAGAAATTCACGTTGTATCGGGGAACATAAATCGGGGGACGGGGGTCAGGGGTCAGGAAAAGACACACACACACACACACACACAGGGACAGAGAGGCGAACGCACTACACCGAACACTCGAGCACAATAAGCTAGATCTACCCTTCAACGCAAAAGAGCTCCAATTTACTTGGTGGCAATTGACAAAAGGTCAATTTTTTTCAATTGCCACCGCGTCACTCGGTGGCAATTGACACTACCTTGTTGATAATAAGTGAATGGAGTGGCCCGTGTGTGTGTGTAAGGTGTGAACGGATGGGGGGTGGGGTGTGGAGGGATTTTTTTTTTACGTGAAGGATTTTAGTTTTTGCTGGATGACTAAATGCAAAATAGGTTACTGCCAAGGTCGAGCAGTCTTGTTTTCTCGCAGTACCTTTTGGAGGTATTTTCAAATGAAGTATGTCCGGGAATGTTGCCCCAACCACGATTGAAGTATCTGAATATTCAGACATTTAAAAATCTCTAGCTCTAGAAATTGAATTTGATACAAAAAATGCTTCTTCCCAGTCCTCGCAGAATAGCAGAATGAAAGGATGACGCCTAAATCTTGCAAATAACCAAAAAAATTTCGAGATCAGAAACCGTTCGGAGAAATAGAGTTCAGCTTTATTTTCCAGAATGTTCGGAAAAATAGTCACCTTGATAATATTATAATCTATAATGGCTTACTGGATGAATTGCTTTAATCATTGGAATCGTTTTATGATCAAAATTTGTTTGCTCAAGTTTTTTACTTTTACAGATCAATGCGTCAAATTCAATGAGATCATGAGTTCTGACTTGAAAATAACTGAACAGTCAAAATGGTATTTTAGATTTCGGAGTGTCTACGTACACCGTAACCGGGCACCTAGTCTCAGTATCTATGTACACGGTAACTGGGCTCCTAGTCTCAGTATCTATGTACACAGTAACTGGGCACCTAGTCTCAGTATCTACATACACGGTAACCGCAATGAAAATAAATCAAATCAATATTTGTCCTGTGCTGTCACTTGCTGAAAAAAAGAAAGTCATACTAGTCATAGCATCTTGTCTGGCTCGTCATCGTGACCGGTCAGTGAACCTGTGCGTGCTCATCACATTGTGAGTACCGGTTGGAGTCACCAAAGTTCATTCAAAGTCTGTGCGCTGCGAAGTATAGGGCTCCGGAATGGGGGGGGATTTTTTTTTTTTTTTAAGGTACAGTAGGGGGAGGGGTGGGGATGAAGGCAACACCGGATGACAAAAACTGGAACTTGGGAGTTCTAAACAGCCCGGTTACCGTGTACGTGACGCTGAGTCGCTGAGACTACGTGGCCGGTTGCCGGTTATCGTGTACGTAGACACTGAGGCTAGGTACCCGGTTACTGTGTACGTAGACACTCCGTTTAGATTTTAAATGTCAGTCTGTGCTGTGCACCCTGTGTATGATGTATACACATATATATGTGAGGCAGCATGGTGAATTCAGCTGATTGTCAAAATAATGAAATAGAAGAAACTAGCATTTTTCAGTTCGTTTGGCAAATTTTTATGGCCAGCTCTATTTCTCAAAATGCTCGGGAAAATAATCTTGAACTTTATTTCTACGAACGGTTTCCGTTCTCGAGATTTGTTGACAATTTGCGTTTGGAGTGGAGAGAGAGAGAGAGAGAGAGTGTGTGTGTGTGTTTGACTGGGTGGGGGGGGGTGTGGCGTGGAGGGAATTTTTAAAAGATTTTTTTTGCTTTAGGCGGGGGGGACTAAAGGTCGGTTACTGCCAAGGTCGATGGGTGGTTGGCGGGTGTTCTGGTGTGGTTTGCTCCTTCTTTCTTATCAAACATCTATCGTCCTTATCTCTCCTCCTTCTTTTTTGTGTACATGTATGTTACTCTCTTGCTACACATCTATACTTCGGCATATATGACCTAACATGTAGGGGGCTTTCGTGGCCTAGAGGTTAAGGTGTTGGCCTCTCATTCAAAGGTCCCGGTTTCGAATCCGGGTAGCGACCGAAAAATTTTCTTCTCTAAAATTGTCTCCTTTCACCTCCTTTCCTGCTCTCTAGCAATGTTCTGTTGTCTGCTTTCATTTCCACTTTCCGCCCCCACCCCCTCACCTCCTTTGCCCCCTCCTGGGCTCCTGACTCTTTCTGCAACCTTTCTACTGCTACTCCTTGGCTCCTCCTTACTGCTGTCTTTCTGCCACACCCCTGATCTTCTGGTAGGAAAGATCTACACCTAGCCTTCTCGGACAAGGACAAAAAATCTGGGAGGGCCCATGTGCAAGTTGCGCACGTTAAAGATCCCTTGATGGTCTAAAATCGATAAGAGTAGGCTTCGGCCGCCACCCGGGTAAAATTCAAAATTTCCTACCAACTGAAAAATATTAGGTGTGTCCCGCACGCTCATATGACTTTATGCTGTTGCGAGCGCCGTAAAACACTCTACAAAAACAAAAGAGCTTACATGTACAGTCAAACCTGCCCTGACGGCCACCTGTACAAACGGACACTTTCCATTTCCCCCCTTGCATTTTTTCTGTATAATTTAACTGTGTAAAACGGACACCTTCCAACGCGGCCGCGGCCACCACATTTTAACACACAACCCCTATCACACAAAGCAATAACACCTGTCTTAGACGGCCACTTTAGTAACTCTATTACGTTTTGTCTTAAATTGTGCATTGGCCCCAGGCATTGTGGGCGCACCGTCACAATTCAATCACCTGTCGTTGTTGTTAGGTAGTCCCTCCAAACAATCATGCTGTGTAGACCCCTCCCACTGTTGACCAATAGCTACCAATTTTCAACTGCTGGTGAGGTAAGCGTGTGACCCCTCATTACCCATAAGCCCCGCCCAGAACTCATACACAAATCGTAAGTGAGATGAGTGGTCACTGTTTACCCAGTCTGTAACAAAGTAGCAATGGACGTCAACATGAACTTGTGACAGAAGCGTCGCTCTTTCTCCGAGTGGAGGCGACCCATATGTTTGTTTTAACATGGCACTCGGTCTTCCTCGTCCGATACATTTCGTTTTATTGTCACCCTTGTGCAAAATCAGGAACAAAATAAAAATTACAAACAAAATACAAACCAACAACAACAACAAAAACAACAATGCGGCTACTTTCGATTGAGACATCAGATGGGAATGGTTTGTTTTCTTCATCTTGATCAGTCCTGCCTAAGACGGCCACCTGTCTTATACGGCCACTTTTCTCCTTGACAATAGGTGACCGTCTTACACAGGTTTTACTGTATTGTGTTGCAAGTGCTGTAAAAGTCTTACTAAAGCTGAAAACTGCCACGGTCGAGCAGTCTTGATTTCTCGCAGTACCTTTTGCAGGTATTTTCAAATGAAGTATATAGTCCAGGAACGTTGCCCCAACCACAACTGAAGTATCTGAATATTCAGACATTTAAAAATCTCTAGCTCTAGAAATTGAATTCGATGCTAAAAATGTTTCTTCCCAGTCCTCACGGAATGGCAGAATGAAAGATGACGCCTAAATCTCGCAAATAACCAAAAAATCTCGAGAACGGAAACCGTTCAGAGAAATAGAGATGAAGTTTATTTTCCCGAGCGTTCAGAGAAATAGTCACTTCGATTTTTTAGTTTTTGGTTTTTGGCTGATAATCGCCTTTTTTAATTCTTTTGTGTCCTTTTAAAAATATATTTCTGTGCAGATTCCTTTAATCTCAAATATCTCGACTTCTATTCAAGATAAAATTAAGTTGTTTTTTTTCATTGAAAGCAAGACAAATGAACAAGTGGGAATGGGTGAGTTAATACTATCCGTACGTCATGTTTTACTATCGTATTCATACGATGTGGGGAACTCTGTGCCACCACTTTCCAAAGAGGAAATTTACTCGTTAATCCGATCCTTACCTTTTTCATAGCAGTCTGTCGAAATGATTTTTTGAAAAATACTAAAAGTTTCAAAGAGATCTTCGATTTAGAAGTATTCTAAAATGTGAAGAATACAACGCGAGGGTAAAAAATGACCCAGGGCGTACAGATAGGGTTAAGGTGATGCGGCAATAATTCCACTTGCCTAACAATTATAATGAGTACCTGATTCTACAGTGTCATCATGACACCCTAATGTGAGGCATCGTGGTGAAATCAGGCGCTCGTCAAAATGATAAAATTGAAGAAATCGGCATTTATCGGCCAGTTTGGAATTTTCTTTCAAATTTTTGTTTTCGCAGTGGCTATGGTCACGGCGCTGTGAACGTAGTTTATAGGCTACGTTACGGCACCCTGAATCATCCACCATTGGCACAGTGGTACGACTAAAACTCTACGATCGCTCAAAGTTCAAAGTGAATGAGGAAACAGCAAAGGAATACTCTTGTGAAAAATAATAATGCAGCGGTGGTCCGAATGCAACCGAGTTTAAGGAAGGCGAAGGCGGGCACAGCAAGAATGCCGCAGTTGACAAGGCCTCGTTCGCTCAGCACGCAGAACGACTTCTTCGTCTCTTCCTGTGTGCGGACCCGGCAACACTCAGCAATTTGAAAATAAAAGTCATTCGAAGAAATAAGGGAGAATGGATGAAGACCAAAGCAGGAAGAGGGTGGGAGGGGGTGAAGTGAGCAAGATCATTCTTAAATTGCAAACTATATTGAGGGAGCCATGAACGTAGCCTGCAAACTACATTCACGGCACCGTGAACGTAACCACTGCGTTTTGCTTTTTGGATAAACGCCTTGTATGTCCATTCAAAAACATTCTTATGTGTGGATTTTATGGGAAAACGTTGGTTAAAAGCATGAAAAATGTAAATTTGCAGTTTTCAAGGACTCTTAATCTACGGAAGTCACCTAACTTTGGCGACCATTTACTCACTAATTTTACTTCTGAAACCCGGCGACCCCACCTCCTTCAATCGCAAATATCTCAACTTCCATTCAAGATTAATGGATGTTTTTTCTCATCAAATGCAAGGCATATAAACAACCTGTAAGATGATAATAACTCCATATACCCAAGAATTGACGAATGCCTGATTCCATCACGTCGTGACACATATATTTACTTTTATTTGTTGGGGAATGAGAGTATCAGTTCTGGGGGTTTCTTTGGTGACTGAATTAAAATAACATTTACTGTTTTAAAAAGAGAGAGTTCATAGAATAGGTTAGGTACAATTTTGTTTAGTTTAAATATTTTAGTTAAGTTTTAGACAATTTCAATCAATGTTGTCTAAATTAAATCTTTAAAAAAAAAGATTTTATCACTTCAGCTGTGATGCTAGCACTTAACAATGGGGATTTCAACAGATTTTCCTGTGTCCTTTCTTGTTCATACGTCTGTCATTTGTTTCCAGTTTATTTTGGGACAATGAAGATTCAAGTGCCCAAAACCAACAATTGTTTGCCCAAGACAATAAAGGCGACATACTACTCTACACTGTGGACAACGAAGGGGTAACACTTCCTGTACGAGTGACAGCCTCGAAGATACACAGTGTTGTGAAGAATTCGTCCAAAGGCAAGTTTGAAAAACAGCAACAAAAGAGTGATTGCCTTCTCGTTACATATATATATACATACAAAATGTTTATGTTTTGACACTTTGGTGAAATTGTCCCCCCCCAGGTGCTTTGTACGAGATTTGGATTCTATGACAATAACTTATTCACAGTACAAGGACATCACTTTTGGAAGCGTCAAATTGGCATTAACTACCAAATTCATGTATTGTGATTATTTTTTTATGTATTGACCCAGTTTCAATTAACCTTTAATTCTGTGATAGATAGTGACTATTGATGTCCCTGATTACAGGTAGTGAACTTGAGTTTCTTGTCTTTTTTATGAAATTTGTTTTCATTTGTTCCAAATTTTCAATTTTTCCTTTCTTATTTTACAGATGAACTTGAGCTTGTTGGGTGTGATAGAGGACATGCAATTTTCAATTTGAAATCACTGTCTCTTGTTTGTGTGAGGATGACACAGAATGCTGGAATCTATCTCAGCTGTGTGTTACCTCTCCCAGACTCAACGACAGGCGGAGTTGAGGGAGAGGCTACAAAGAGCAGCTGTCAGGTGCAGCCATGGATCTACCAGGTCCTGAATGGGGTCATGGTTGTCTATGACCCAGATGTCAATATGATGTGTATCCTTTTCTATTAAAACAGAAAGACATCCAGTATCTACTTTAACATCTCATAAAATGTAGAATATAGGATATAAAGCTTCAATGTCATTTGAAAAAACAATGAGTTCCGTACAGAATATGTATGTATAAAAATGGGAAAGTTTTTTTGTTGTCATTTTGTTCTTTTTTTAATTGCTTGTTTAAGGAATTCAACTTCTTCATTATTTATCCCCATGTTTATAAAGGGTGGTTTCTTAGAATTTTTCTGTTAACTTTATTTGAAATCTGCGTTGATCTTTTCATGATTTAGTTTGATTGCTTTGAAAGTTTGCATGTACATATTGTAGGTTAGGTGTAGTGTGCTAATTTTTTTTTCAAGAGTGGCACATAATGCATACTTGTTTTGTTTCCTTAAATTTTTGTCAGTTATGCACTTGATTGCAACAGGTCATTGCATATGCCAGTATGATGTGCAGCCTCTTGGGGTAGATGCGGAACATTTGGTTGGATGGAGACTTTCCCATGATCTGAGTGTTCTGATGATAATTCATTCAGACTGGAGTGTAACAAGGGTGGTCATCAGTGAATTTGCCTCTGCCTTACCAACCAGTGTGAAACTTCTCGACATCAAAGGACAGGAACAAGTTTTTAGTCTTGAATATCTCAACCTGACTCTTTCCCATTACAGAGATCAGCTGCGGAAACAGCAGGAGAGTCTTGATCACTTCAGCAGTTCACCAATGCCCAAACCAAAACCGCCTAGCAGCAAAAAAGAAAGTGTAAAAAAAAGTAAACCACGTAAGAAACTGCTCCAGGAAGAGGAGGCTTTTACAAAGTCACTTTCTGCCCCTCAGTATCAGTCTAGTTTAACACTGGGAAAGGAGAACATGGAACACTGGTTGATCACAGCAGCTGAAGCATCCAATTACTCTCTGGCTTTGGCTTTGGTAGAAAAGCAAAGAGATGATGATGGAAAGGAAGAGACAGCTATCTGTTTTGCCAATTTTTCTGAGAACACTGTCAATGTTCATCCGTAAGTTTTCGTCTTTCATGTTCCTTAAAGATTTGCTTACTTTGATTTAAAATGTACTTACCCTTTTAGGGTCTTAGTTATAGCTGTGTGAAAGTTCTTAAAATTACTGTCAAACTGCCTAAACAGTCACCTCTCCTTAGAAATCACCTGTCCAACATGTCCATGGACAGTCATTCGCTGGACAAGTTCACTTGAAAACCTTATAGTGGCCACTTGCTACAAGTTTTCCACCAATCCGTCCTGAGACTGAGTGTGAACTCAGTGCAAAGAAGCTTTTACGACAGAGAACAATTTTAATGAAAATATAAAATTAAGATTTGACGTCTAAAACCATTTGTTGACTTTGTTAAATCTAGTAAGTGACCATAACTCAGACCATGCCCGTAGTGGACACCTATTCCTAATGGTCACTTTTCTCTACGATCTTGAGTGACCATTATGGACAGTTTTAAATGCTTATTAATTTTCCATTTGATAAGGGGGGAGGGGGGGGGGTAGAAAGAAAAAGAAAGGCTGCACATGCGTACATCTCAGGGAAGAAGAGAGTAGAAGATCAAACCCAGTGAGTCTCAACAGCACTAGACTGTATGTAATATCTTGTTTTAAGATGGAATTGTTTTGACAATTCTTTATTTTACTTATAATCTTTGAAATGGCTGATCTGATGACACTATTAATGATGTAATTTTTAAATTTTTTTTTCTGAGGACTTTCATGTTGTATTTTTATAGATGCAATGAATTTTTGTATAATACCACTACTGAATAACATTTTAAAGTAGATGTAAATTCAGTGTATTTTAATTTGCTTATAAACAAAATCACAAGATAGGTCATATAAAAGCCTCATCGCAATACGTTTTATCTCATGAAGGAATAGACCTGACAGATTTGTTTTTCTTCAGATTAAATGATCGAACAACAGTGGTCTTGTCCAGCATTCCGTCCTGCCCCCATTTGTTGTGGTCAGAGAAGTTTTTAATGCTTCTGTCAACAAATGATATACTGTTGAAAGATGATCTGATATCATGGGTGAGTACGAAGAATAGGCGGTTGATTAGTGAGTGCTCTTGCTTTGGTCTTATCTTTCGCCTTCTTTTCAGTGTGTCCTCTCTTAGTAATCTGGTCCCAGTAGAATGTTTTTGTTATCATTGTATTTTTGTGTGGCATAATTCAGTACGACTACGGTACCTGTTAAGAGTGACAATGCTTTACGGGCTTGCAATGGCTACTGCAGGCTGCATGATTTCAGATTTTGATGCTCTATTCTCACGAAAATATTGTCATGGTTGTGGTAATGGAGGGTATGAAAACTAGTTCAATTATTTTAAAAATGAGCTATGCAAAATCAAAATCAGGGACAAGTAAGGAGTGGGCTGCATTGATTTTATGATACCAACTATTGGAGATGTAATCTTTGAATTTCATAATTGTCTAACAAAGGCACAGCAATGCAACTGCATATTTCATGATTTTGAACAAAAAATGCCCCCAAATTTTTATGCTTTAACTGTCTGAAGTTTTGAATGGTCCAACACATGGTTGTGCAGAAATGTAGATACGTCACTCTGCCATCAGCAGCTGAAATGAGAGCAGTCACTTACATAGCCGAACCACTTTGAAAACTGCCATTTCAAATGTAGATACATCATCCTGCCTTTGACACAAAAAAGGATATGGTCAAAGCTTGTGAAACAAACCAATGAAACGGAAAAAAATTTGATTTGTCAGATATATTTCTATGTCTTAGGATGGCAGAATACTTTGTATCAAATATTTCCTTTGTTACCTGCGGCTGAGAGACATAAGCTGGACTTAACAATGTGTCTGCTTAATCAAAAACTGCAGATTGCATAAGACAAAAATTTTCTGTCATTCAATTTCCAACTTAATGAGGTAAAAAGTGTGTCAGCAGGTTGTTCTTTTCAAATAGTAAAGGTTTCTGGATGCATTTGATCTAGATTTTGTCCTTTAGTCTGCCACAAAATAGTTACAAAAAAAAAGAAAGAAAAAATGCTGCAGCTCTTTGACTTTGATAGTGCAAAGATGCGTGTCCTTGAGACCAAGATCTTATTGTAAATTTCCAGCATTTGTCTTTTTTGTATGTCTGTGCAGGTTATGTTTCACTTACAACTGAGCGATGCTTCCAGTCTAAGCCGAAGCAGTCAAAGATCAAAAGCTGCCCTCATCTTGAACGCCCTCCAGTCCAGCCTTCAGCGACAGCAGTTTGATACTGTTATTTTCTTCTTCAAGTCAAAACAAGATTGTATGTTGGGATTTATTAGATTGTTTTCTTCTGTTTACGCAAAACAAAATTAATGCAAGAACTTTTTTTTTTCTTCTTTATTCTGTTTAAAATATACTTTGCGTTTAGTTTTGACGCATAAAATGGCCTAACTTGGCTGAAAATCAAGAATCTCTGGTTTAGGTTATAAAATGATTTCTTTGGACGGGGATTGTTATGTGAAAAAGGGGAATAAACTGCTATTGGTACTTTGAGTTTTGTGAAATCCGTAACGTTTGTTTTTAGATAGTCAGGTGCTATCCGTAACTTTCATTATAACTATGGCTTTGATACTTAATTTGTTCTTTATTGCTGCATGTTATTTTTCAAAGCTCTACTTGTATGAAAATTCAGATGGGTTTTTTTTCTGACATCAAGCAGTAAGGCTGTGTATATCTTGCATCAAATACATATGAAGTTTGGATAATTTGATTTGAATGTTGTTGGTAGCTTGAAGAATATTTTGTAGTATTCATGGAGGGTAGTGACTGAGTTTGTTTGTTTTTTTTGTTTGTTTGTTTGCTGGTTGTTGTTGGGTTATTGGGTTGGGGGGTTTTTTGGGGGGGGAGGAGGGGATGTTTAATATGTGTTGTGTGCATGTTGATCAAAGAATACATTTTTACAAACTGGCATCTGTTTTGAAATTCTTATGCTCTTCACCAAGGTATGCAGAAAACTTGAGTTCGATTCCTAGAAAGTTAATCTAATCATGTATTTCCTTAGTACTGGTGGTATACTTTATCCCACCCTGTCCAGGTTGGCCCTACTGGCTATGTCGAAGTAGCTCCCCTTCTATGTGGTCTAAATTGTGCCACTGGAGACAATTAAGATTTACAATCAAAACAGTTTTACTATGAGGATGGTATTTTTTTAAAATCTATGTCCGGTGAAAATGGTAGTTCTTGTGTGAGGAGAAAGATGTTTGTGCTTTTCAGTATTCAGTACGGCTGTACAACGCCAGCTGGGCTCCATGCTTGTGAATCAGATGTATCAGCTGGAAGATCCCCTGACCCTGATCATGACCTCTGTGACCAAAAGTGTGTCAGCTCAACAGAGTCAAATGTTTGCCAAGAGGCTGTTGTCCTTGACACTTGACTTTGTGTACGGACTTCTTGACGATGCTACAGGCCTGCTTAGACAGATGGACAGTGGCAGTGTAAGTCATTTTTCTCGAGAAGAGCGAGTTGCAGATGTGAATTTTATTTTTATGTGATTGAGATGGCTAAAATGCCTCTCAAATTTAAAAAAACCACTTTGTTTTTTAAGTAGTTGTAAGGCCAAAGGGATGTAAAAAGCTCAATCAGTCCATCATTTTGAAAGATAAGGTTTTTTTCGAAAACTCAGTTCTTCGCACTGTAGATCCCCTCACCTGTAAGTGTGGGTGGTTGGAACACCTGTGGCTTCTTCTTTTCTTTCCTTATATTGTTTCTGTATGTCTATCTTGCTTATTTAAAGAGGTCACTGTCATATCAATGCACTTCTCTTAACTCCAACCTGGTAGTGCAGGGTGGAGGGAGGGACAGGGCTCAAGCCAAGAGTGATGAAGATTGTCTATCAACGAAATGTTACATATTGTTGATTCTTTCCCTTGATCCCGGGTCTGCGAGTTTATCTATGATTTAGCAGAGTAGTACTGGGGATGGGAAAGAGAAGTAGACTAGAGGGATGGAAAATGCATTTGAGAGTAGAGGGATGGGAAATGTCTTTGTTTTCCGCGTTTCAAAGACACCTCCAAGCTCTTTTCTCATTTTGTGGAAACAGCTCTTTCGGCTTTCAGCATCTTCACTCTTGAAACTTGCTGCTAGTGCGTGCCATCCCAGTTGTCTCTATTTTCTCTCTTTGTATGATCATTTGATCACTCCAGAATGCCAATAGACAAATGCAGATGCTCAAGAAAAGTTTCCCTGCTTGTATGCAGTCAGTCAATAGAAAACCTTGAATTTTTTTCTATTAAAAATTTGTTGTTGGGGTTTGTTGTTGTTTTTTGGGGGGGGGGGGTGGAGGGAAGATATCAATGACCTGCTGTTATCTGATAAAGTATTGGATATTGGGTCCATGTTGGCTGAATAAAGTGATATCATTTAGGAAGGCAATTATCAAGGAAAACTTGGTTTAGCTGTTCGAATTGTTGATTTAAAAAGATGCTGATCCAGCTGTAATTTAGTTTTAACATTTTTAACATATTTTAGCAATTGTATTTATGTAAAAAGCATGAGGAAAGTGTTTTGTCAACTTTTGCAATATAATTAATTCTTGAACTGTTTGTTTTTTCATACATGAACTATAGGATTTTTTGTTTGCATGTTTTTCCATATTCCATGTCATTCGCTGTAAAAAGTAAATTTTCATTTGGTTTGTTATGGTTTTCTTTAACTGTAATGATGGTGTCGGGCACAGATGTGCCATCTCACAGGGATTTTGTTTGATAACTGTTTGATAAACAAAATCATTATGTTTTCCATGTCATTGGCAAGAATTGTTTTGTTTTTTTTCATTTAGTTTATTTTGATTTCCACAGAGTGAAGGGAACTTGTCTTCTATAAAGGACCAGATCAAAGAGAGCTGTAAAATTCTGCTGTCTCAGCTGCCTGCCTTAAGGAAATGCATGAATGCTCTGAAGCATGAAGGGAAAGAGATTGAAACTTTCAATTTTGATGACTCTACTCAAACCAATGTAAGAAATGTACTTGTTTTGCTCATGAAATATGTTTCTTTTTCAGAATATAAAGATAATTAGCATTTTATTTTTTGTTCCTTTGGTTTTATGGAGGATTTTCGAAGAATAAGCACGAATTTGCATGATGAATTACTGTTAATGATGTTGTTCTAGATAAAGGTGCAGTTGAATATTGTCTAAGACGGCCACCTGATGTGGAGCGGAAGAGGAAAGTGATTATTTTAGACGGGTGGACATCTTTGACAGTGTCATTATGATATATTTTTTTTCAAATCAAGGGGCAAGTAAGAAGTAGTCATTTGGACAGATGGCCATTAGAGCAGGTTCGACTTTATTTATCAGTAGACCTTGGTAGAGCCTGACAATTTCCCTGACAAAATCTGAACACCTGCTTGTTGTTAGATTGTATTTTGTTTATAAAATTTTGATAAACTTTAACTAATTATGTTTTTTGCTAATTTCTAGAAAATGCTAAAGATTAGTTATAATTTTAAGTGCTGAATGATGGTCTTTGGTACTCTTATCTTTCAATCAGGCTTGAAAGACTCTTAGGGGTAAATTGAAAATTTATTTGTTTGACTGTTGTTTACACATAGTCTGTTTTATGTAAAATAAGAAATAACAAATTTTAATCGTTATTTCCGTGTGTTACTTATTTGTAAGTGAACATTTCTTTTTCTTTCCTGAACAGGTGGACATGGAACAAGTAATCAAAGACAGCAAACTGTCGAGTCTGCAGTTTTTGTTGATGACGGAAGATCCAGAGAGGTTAGAGCAGTACCAGCAGCTGGGGACGGAACTTCTGGATGTGGTCAAGACTTGCCTGGAGCAGGAAGATGTTGCCGCCTGTCAAAGTGTCTTGAACAACCTGGTGAGAACCGCGGGGGTTTTTCCCATCAATTACAGTTTGCACAATGGCAAATAAGTTAAAAATAGGAGTTCTAAATACAGTCGGGCCACCTCAATAAGACGGCCACCTGTACAAACGGCCACTTTCCATTTCCCCCCTTGCGTTTTTTCTATATAATTTAACTGTGTAAAACGGGCACCTGTCCAACCCGGCCGCGACCACCATAATTTAACACACAACCCTATCATACTAAGCAATAATAGCTGTCTTAGACGGTCACCTTAGTGACTCCTTTACGTTTTGTCATAAATTGTGCATTGGCCCCTGACATTGTGGGTGAGCCGTCATAATTCAATAACCTGTCGTTGCTAGGTAGTCTCTCCAAACGATCATGTTGCATAGGCCCCTCCCACTGTTGACCAATAGCTACCAATTTTCAGCTGCTGGTGAGGTAAGCGTGTGATCCCTCATAACCCATAAGCCCCGCCCAGAACTCATACACAAATCATGAGATGAGTGGTCACTGTTTACCCAGTCTGTAACAAAGTAACAAAGAACGTCAACATGAACTTGTGACAGAAGCGTCGCTCGTTCTCCGAGTGGTGGCGACCCATGTGTTTGTTTTAACATGGCACTCGGTCTTCCTCGTCTGATACATTTCGTTTTATTGTCACCTTTGTGCAAAATCAGGGACAAAATAACAATTACAAACGAAATACAAACCAACAACAATAACACCAATAAAAGACAACAACAATGCGGCAACGTTCGGTTGGGACCTCAGATGGGAATGGTTTGTTTTCTCCATCTTGATGAGTCCTGTCTGAGACGGCCACCTGTCTTATACGGCCACTTTTCTCCTTGACAATGGGTGGCCGTCTTACACAGGTTTGACTGTATACAGAAAATGCCTAATGCGGAGGAGATTTTGTTGTTGTTGTTTTGTTCTTTTGCCATGTAGCTGAGGAAAATTGTGTTATGTTCTGTAAGTAATGCTCTTATTGGCCTGAGAGAGAAATTGGAGTAGCCATATTATCCTTTACATTTCATATGCATTACTGACATTGGAGCTCAGGCCACCAGCATGCTCTTTCCTTTTGTAACAATTTATGATGCATGTGCTGTTACTAAGCAAATGACAAATGAATTTGTTTTGTTTATTACTTTTAGCTCGCGTAAACAAAACAATGCACCCTAACACCACAGACTAAGGCATCATCACCTTGACATAAATCCACATTCTATCAAGATGAAGCGGAGCAAGTGAAGTATATACATATATGCACTTATTGAGCATTATTATGTTAATGTTCCTCTCTTTATTGATAAGATGACTAACTCAAAATTTTTGTACAGGGATGTGATGTCCTGTCCACGCTGTGGTCTCTGACCCAGTTCTACGCCAGCAGATCTCTCCAGAGATTCGTGGTCCAGCAGCTGTCAGATGCCGCTGCTTTGACCCAGGAACAAAGGCAGTTGGTGCAGGATTTAGAGAAGTTCTACACAATCTATCCTTTGGAGTCATTTGGGGAATGCATGAAGGAGAAGGTTCACGATGTGACAAGGTTTGCTATATCAGTTTGTCAGCTGATCTTGAATATGCTCATGTCATGCCATGTTCACATTATGTCTTGCACTTTTTTTGTTTGTTGACACATATCAGCAATGTCTGGCACAAATGGGTCAATTCCAAAATCTTCTAAAACCGGATTTTTGACCATGTTGCAGGTCAGGGCTAAATACATTTTAATGAATAGTGAAAAAAATTTATCTAATAGAAATGCGTGACTCATTGAGAGGAACTTTGAAGAGAGAAACAGTTTTAATCTCTCCTGTAGAGTAGACTTCTTGTATGGTGACAAGTCCATGCCTGGATACCATTGATATAATTTTAAACATTTTGTTTCTGGTCATTAAAATTTGTTCTGTTTCTGTCTTCGACATTCTAACTTGTTTTAAAATTAAAAACAGAAATGCAAAAATGAAACACATGTTTACCTCCCTTTTTTTTTTTTTTTTTTTTTTTTCATTAATTGTAGTAGGATGAATTTGGAATGCCTTCAGCAGGCCCACTTTTTTCATTGCTAAGGCATATTTAGCCTTTGCTATCTTTGTTTGTGATATTTACTTTCATTTCAGACACAGGGAAAGGTTTTTATTTTTTCTGCTCTCATAGTTGCCCTTAATTTTAGGTGTGTATTAAATTCAAATGTGTAAAACTGTACAGGTTTAATTGCCCTTACAATACTGTATGTCTATTTAAGCTTAATTTTAGGTGTGTATTAAATTCAAATGTGTAAAACTGTACAGGTTTAATTGCCCTTACAATACTGTATGTCTATTTAAGCTTAATTTTAGGTGTGTATTAAATTCAAATGTGTAAAACTGTACAGGTTTAATTGCCCTTACAATACTGTATGTCTATTTAAGGGAGGGACCTCCGAATTTAATGTCCATCTGCCTTAGGACCAAGCCAAATGGGAAAATTTATGTAAAATGCCTTTCCCAAGGACACGTTGTCAATCTTAGCTGAGCCTCAAACCTCCAAACCTGCAATCTCACAATTACGAGTCTGGTAGCCTAACCACTAGACTACCGACACCACTATAAATTCAGACATTACCGTTTACTAAATTATAAGTTGAAGTCTTATATGCATTTGTCAAAAGTGTAAACTGAACTTAGTATCATGCTTTTGCTCTGTACCTGATATTCACATTAAGGTGTGTATCTATTTTAAGCACCTGGCCTGATAAAGATGATCCTCTCAAGCGTGTCATCTATGCGAAGGATGTTTTCCTGCTGAACCACTGTGGAGATTTGTCAGTGTCCTCTGGTGTGAAGTCTGCAGAGACCTCAACAGACGAGATGCTTTACCTTTCCTTACCGCTGACGTGGCTCAGCCAATGGTCAGATGAAACAAAGAAAGAGGTGCAGATTGATGCCCATTTTCTCACATCTAGTAAGCTCTAATGTCTTTTCTTTATTTTGGTAAATGTTTTTACGCCCTAAAATACATAATTTTGACCGTTTAGGACAGACTGCTTCAGCCCTGCCTATCAGGACCTATTTAGGGCTAAGTGATGTATAACATCCCAGCAGCTAGTAGGAGATACTCAATTACATAAATTTCTCACTCGGGAATTTGAACCTCTGTATTCTGTGTGCAATGGTGAAGAGCCTAGCTGAAACAAAATAGATGCCAGTGTTCCCATTCCCATATCTGGAATGCCCCCCCCCGCCCCCCAAACCCCCCCCCAAAAAAAAACAACAAACAAACCAAAAACCTTCATTATTTGCCAACTTTACATTTTAGCAAGGCTGAGAAATTACAGCTCTAAGTCGAAATGCCATGGGTATACTTATTTTGCTGCTTTTATGTTCAAATATACAGTTTATATTTGCAAGCTATGCTAATTTCTTCATCAGTGTAAATCCTTGCAGAGTGTAGTAGTAGGTTCCCTTCTTGGTACATCAACTGGACTGTGTTTTAGTATATGTGTAAATGGAACCACTACTTTACCCAGCTGTTGTTGGTGCTGAAGACACTTTCACTCTGGGTTTTGGGGAGAGGGGGGGGGGGGGGTTGTTGTGGGTCTCATGGACCTCTGTGAATAGAAAATGGAAAGGACACTGTGTTCAGTGTTGGCATTCTTTTAATTCCTTAACATTTTTAGTTTTAATCTGTGATTCTAAACGTGTCCAACAAGCATGCACACAGACACACAATAACAGACAAACACATCACACTTTATTGTTATGCCTTTTTTATGTGCCAATTTTGCCAGAGTGGAGGACTGGTGTTTGTAATGTAATGGTTATTCTCTTTACAGTTGCACACAAAAGGCATAAGTTTGTTGCCCTAATGGGGAGTTTATCTCTGAAAAGGGTGGGGGGGGGGGTTGCTTTTTGGACAGCTAATAAGTTTCTATGAATTAGATGGGTATTTTTACAGCTTGAGTACCACAGATCAGTATGATAGTTTGTGTTGATTTCTTTTCTCAGGTGATGCCTATGCTATGTTAAAAAGTGACCCAGAAGCAACATGGAAATACCTGATATCTCACAACCTTCTCCCAGTGATTGATGAGCTGTTCCAGAGAGAAAGTGGTCCAAAAGCCCCATGGGTGCTCGCTGATCCATCAAAGAATTTAGATCTGGGATGGTCACATCTAAGGAGAGTCATTATTCTGGAACTATTGAAGTAAGTAACTTGTTTGTGAACAAAAATAAGATGAGTTAATTTCCCCAGTGTTCTATATTTTCTCAAGAACACTTGGGAAAGAATCTCTGTTGACTCTCTCCTTTGTAGCTAAAGTCTTTGTAAATGTTTGATTGTCCTTCTCTCTTTTTTATGGTTTGATAGAGTTTGATAATATGAAACCACACTACAGTTTGGTGGAGCTGGATAGAGTTTGATAGTATTAATCCACACTACAGTTTGATGGAGCTGGATAATATTGATCCCCTGTACAGTTTGACAGTTTACTTGTCTTAATTCTCTCTACAGTTTGATTCATTTTATTTATCTTTTATTTCCAATATAGTTTGAATGAGCTTGATCATTTAAATCCTTGTTGCAGTTTTATTGAATTTGATATTTGATCATCTGTATACTGCGACTGAATTTAATAAATTTAATCCCCACCATAGCTTTATTGAATATGATGATCTCAATCCTTGTTATAGTTGGAATGAATCTGATAGTCTTAATCCTCAGTTCAGTTTGATGGAGTTCAATAATCTGAATCCTTGTTTCAGGTTGGGACAACTGAGCCCTGACGTGGCTGCCTCACAGGGCACTGACATCAACTCCTTGCTACCTCTTGTTGGGGGTCCTTTGTCCAAGCCGCACCCTCTGAAGTATCTCGGGGCCGCTTCTCTACGACAGTTCCACACAGATTTTGCTGCCAGCTGCGTCAAGAATGGCCTTTATCTGATTCTGTGGATGTACTGCACCTTCCATGAGTAAGTAGTTTTTTGGTGGGTATTGTTGAGGAGAGAAAGTGGTCATCATAGCCAAGTAGTCCTTTTGGACAGCGTCTTGGTATACAAAAAGAGCGGCAAGGGAGAGTGGGAAGTTGTAGTTTGTATAGCTTATTGTTTTGATTGGGAGGTTGTGTCCCAGTGCTGTTTGTAAAAATTTTGTACACATTAATGACTTTTCTCTTATATGGAACAAAAAGATTGTGGAAAATATTTCTCAACAGGATGTTAAACTTATTGAACTTTCTACATTTGTATAGTTTATTAAAGTCTTTGAATCCGTTGTTTTTTTAATGGGATAAGACAGAATTTTGATATTGCTAATTTACCATATCTGGAACCTGAAGATTAAGGCCAACAAGAGACTTAACCTTCTCCGACGACTGGCTAGCACTTCATGGGGAGCGGACAAGGATGCACTCAGACAGCTATATGTTGGCTATGTACGCTCTGCCTTACAGACAATCTGCAGCAAACCAACTCAGAGGTCTCTTGACAAAATTCAAAATCAAGCTGTACGATATATCTCCGGAGCTTTGAGATCCACTCCAACTGCAGCTTGTGAAATCCATACGAACCTGGAACCCCTGGACTTGCGGAGAGAGGCAGCAGTAGTGGAGATGAGTGAGCGCTACAAAAGACTAGATAAAAAGCACCCAAACAGGAAATTAATTGAACAGAGACGACCAAAGAAACGGATTCATGGAAGATCAATAGTTGACACAGCCACTGAACTAGCAGAAAAACACCATCTTCCATGTAACAGAGAAATGCTGAAACCTTTTAGACCAGAACTCCCCCCAAACACTAACATCAAGAATGCCAACATCAAAACCTCCCTCATAAAAGAGACAGTGAAAAAGGAATGTGACCCAGTAGAACTGAAGACAACAGCTCTGAAGACAATTGACTCCTACCCTAGTGATTCAATTCATATTTATACAGACGGGTCAGCCTTCAAGGGAACTATAAACGCAGGCTTTGGGGTAAGAATTGAACATCCTGACAAAACATGTGAAGAGCTATTTGATGCATGTGGTACTTCTTGTACAAATTACGAGGCTGAGGCAATCGCCATTGAAGCAGCAATCCTACACCTGACCAACATTTTCATAATACATCCAAACAAAATCAAGAACACTATTATCTTCACAGACGGAAAGTCAGTACTCCAAGCTCTGGAAAACATGAATTTCGAAAGCCCAGCCTGCCTATCCGTGGCTCAAACAATCAATACGTTCATACAGACCTATGCCGTCGACCTGACACTACAGTGGATACCTGGCCACAGCAACATCCCAGGAAACGACAGAGCAGACACCCTTGCCAAGAAGGGAGCATCACAGACACAACCTTACAACCCAGTATCACAACAGACAACCAAGTACATCATCAAATGCAACACCAGGGAACAGTGGCTGAATGGATGGGCAATGGGCAAAACTGGAAGAACTGTATTTGCACAAATGACAGTCCCCAACTCTAAAGATGCAATAAATTCCCTGAGTAGAAGAGAACAAGTCACGATATTTCGCCTGCGAACACAACACATACCAGTAAACTCCTACCTTAATAGGATCCACAAGGATACCCCACCCGACTGCCCGTTGTGCGACTGCCAGGATGAAACAGTACCACACCACCTCTTTAACTGCCCAGCACTTTGTGACCTGCGTAGCACCTACCTACCTGCCTCCCCAGACATCGGAAACACTCTATACAGCGACAAAGCACAGCTGATTAAAACCTGTCAATTCTTTGCCATATCGACAGACCGAAGGGCTAGAACCCAAATGGCCGCTGGATCGGAAAAATAAAGTAAAAGTAAGTATATTGCTAATTTTGTTGTTGTCATTTTTTGACTTATGGAACATATAATTTCAGAGTCTCACTTCTGCTTCCTTCTATAACAGCATCAAGCCTGCAGAACTTGGAATTTCAGACAGTCCATCTTGGTTCCTATTGCTCCAAACTTTCTATTCCATTCCAAGACATCCAACAGGTAGGTTTCTGTCATGCTAAGATTTATTGTGACTTTCACTTTCTACATCACAGCATTGTGCTTAAGAGCAGAAGTTCAAGGGCTGCTATAATTTCAACAACAGAAAGTTGGTTTTCTTCTTCATTTTATTTGTAGTTTATTGTCGTGGTCTTGACTTTACATAGCAGCTATTGCTGAATTTTGTTAAGAGATTATGAGAACATCATGATACTATAAGCCTTTGGGACAAAACTACTAAAATTGTAATCGGAGTTATTGTAGCAAGGTCTGTACTTATTTTGACTTTTGCATGTCGTTTACTTTTTCGGAGAGACAAGTGAATATTATTCCTTTCCAGATGGTGAATACTAGAATGAACTAGAATTGTATCCTCACTGTACCAAGAAAAATGCTTGTTTCAAAACCCTGTTTTACATGAAAGAGGACAAAAAACAAAGATTTTGAGTTGCTCAGTTTCATATTCATTGTAATAGCACCACTTTACTTTTCCAAACAATTTTTCTGCCTCATACTTCAGGGTTGCCAGTTTTCCGGCTTTAACACACATCAATATATGCAGTTATTAGTGAGTTCTATTTTTTTTCAATATTTAGGTTTTTCTAATGCCTATGTATTAAATATTTTGGCACATGTTGATATTTTATCTGTTTTTAATTAAATGCTGCACGCCATGCATAGAATTTTATACCGAAAAATTTTCAGGCCTTTTTGTCAGAGCCTTCTGGCAACCCTGATACTGACTAATCTTCGTAACTTGAATTTCATTTTAAATTGCGTTCGTACAGATTGTATATTTCGCTCACTAATAGTGACAAATTAATTATTTTTCCATCCCCAGACAAAACAGCAGTACTCGCAGCGAGCCTGATGGCTTCTGCTCACCTATGGGGAACTCCTCTGTCTCAAGTGGATGTGAAAATGATGCTGAATAAGGGGCAAATTCTTGCTGCTGTGGGGACCCTTAGTTATATGTCTGAGGTAAAAATGTGTTTGCTCTGACGATAATATCAACATTATATCAAATATTTATCTTTTTTCTATGATTTTTTTTGTTTGATGTTTGTTTTTCTTTGGATAAAAATTAATTTTTTTTTCATACAGTATTTGTTTATTCATTAGGAAAGAAATAAATTCTCATTTGAAGACACTTTGTCGTCATTTATGTTTTCATGGGGTAAGAAATGATTCATTTTCAAATTTGTATTTTTCAGTGGTTTTACTTTGAGCTCTGTCTTTGTGACAGAGCACAGGCATCTGGGATGGTTTTTCTTGTTAAAGTTTTTATGTCCGTATCAACACAATTTTGGTCAGTTAAGAGATGGGCTTCATTGAACGTACCAGGCTGAGCGCGATGCAGCATCGCAGTAAAACAGATACTCAGGCTGAGCGCGATGCAGCATCGCAGCAAAACAGATACTCAGGCTGAGCGTGATCAATGATAGTACATAACAAGATGGGCCACTTCTCTCTTTGAGCCAATTAAAAAAGTGTCCTCAAAATTTGGTGGCGCCCTCTTCACAAAAGCGCACTCTTTGCGAACAGAGTTACCCTACTTGAGTTTTTAAAAATCAAAGTGAAACTAGCATGTTTTGGGATAAATTTCGGAAGAACGCTTTTTTTTAATGGTTACGCTGACAAAAAACCTTTTCCTGAGGAAAGGGTGATGGTTTTCTTCGTTTAATTTGACTTTAGAATGAAAGGCGAGAGGTCATTAAAATAAAAAAAACCTAAAACTACGCACTGAACGTACCCGAACTGCTGATGAACAGCAGTCGATCTGCGCACGCAAGGAGGTGCTATTCCTATTCTTCTTCTGGAAAAACGAAAGAGAGCTTCAAAACAGACTGCAGCGCTATCTGAAGCAAAGAGCATACTTCCTGCGGACACTTTTTTGGCTGAGTGAACCATCTTGTTATGTACTATCATTGGCGTGATGCAGCATCGCAGCAAAAAAGATACTATATAATCTTGACAAGATTAAATCCTCTATCATAGGAATAAAATTCACTTCTTTTTTATGATATCATAGATCCAAGTGACACTAGTTTAGATGGGTTTTTTTATCAATTTAAAAAAAATTAAAGGTGTTGGTATACAGAGAGGGTTAGAAATTAAATTATACAGCCAAAGGTGCTGTGAATATTATTTTGACTCAATGTTGTGCCATCAAGGGATTTCATGAGACCTATTCATTAGAATGTGATGTGAATATTGTTTCTACTGATGTACCATCATGGTATTTTTTTATCAGAACAATACTGAAAGGGCTTCTGTGGTAATTATTTTATTTTCATTATCCTGAAATTTTTTTTGAATCATTCATTGAGGGAATGCCATGAATTTTACTTTGAATGTGTCCCCAGGATGACTTGAAATTAGATGCAAACGTAGTGGAGAGATATCTCCATAAGTTTCCGAGGCTCATGGCTGCTTTGCTGCCTGACGGGCAAGAGTCTCTCTCCAAGCACAGGACAACAGTTTACCATTTGTTGATGGTATGTACAAAGAAAGCAAAAAAGGCAAAAGTTTAAAGAAAATAACTCACTTAAATAACTTGTGGAGATGGGGTGGGAGGGGACTAATTTTGTAAAATAATTTTTTCGATTTAATGTATTGATTTTGATGTGGATTCCAATAGCTACCTTTGTTTCTTTGTCTTCTACATTAAAAAAAAAAATCAGTTCATGAGCCCTATGGATTAAACGTTTTGATGATAAACTGAATGTTCCTTATCAAGTTTTTAATAAAAGAAAAACCCTAATAAATCCGTCAATGAGTTTGAAAATATCCTTAGTATGAATTTTAAAAAGTGAAGCTTTCAGTATTAATTTGATTAAGGTAGCAACAGTCAAAATTGTGTCTAAGATGACCATCCATTGTCTTGAAGAAAAGTGACCATCTTTCAGAGTGTCATTACAATGTTTAAAAATGTCAGGTGGAAATGAGAAGTAGCCGTTTGTACAGGTGATTGTTTAATACAGGTGGCCGTTAGAGCAGGTTCAACAGTATCTTTTTTATTTATTTTATTCATCCTATCTGTTGTGTTAATGTTTTTATTTCGGAATAATATTAGTCAAAAACTCTTTTGCCTTTATTGAAGTCTTTATTGAAATAATAGAGGTTTTTTGTTTATTGTTGTTGCCCGATCCTCGACAATTTGATTGATTTACCGTAAATTCTTAAGAAATTTGTTTGAGATGTTTCAGAGCAGCTGGTCTGTTGCTTCTATCGGGGTATATGGGGGGGAGGGGGGGTGGTGTGATTGCTGTTTTGTCATAGACGTTTTGACCCAATTTATTAATTCTAATGGTAGGTTGATTGGATTTCCCACAATGAAAATAGTAATCATTTTTTTGGATTTTTCAGGGCTGTGTACCTTTTAATCTGAGAAGACTGTTTGGCTGGAATTCTACCAATCCTTTCGCTGGTGAAGGTATAAAAAATGTTGTCTTTTAATTGTATTCCAAATTTAAACCATATGTATGTTTTAAAGTACTTTGATAGCTCTTAATTTTACTTGACCATAAGTAAAAGTCTTGAATGTGGAATTAAATGAGGAATGAATTTGAAACCTGAGGTTTTTGTTTTCTTTTCTTAGAATCTTTTTTCCCCTGTAAAATGGAGGTTCTACAAATGCTCAGAAAAATCAAATTGTGTAAGAAATAATGATGGTTGATGTTAATTATACATTGACTCCCCCTTTTTAAAACATTTTTTTTAAATATTCTTTTAAAGCAGCAATTGAAATCATTTCATTGAATGCTTGTTTGAAACGCACTAGTCCAGTTGCCAAAAGTTTACAAAAGTGCAAACTAGTTTAGGATATTCTTTAAAAATATTATTTTTGTTTTTAACAGACAGTCCGAAAGCAATGCCTCACTTCTCTGAGGTGGGTCTATGGAGCAGCCATGCCAGCTACACCAAACTATCCTTTCCCTACTACCTCAAGCATGGGCGTCCTGTGTATGCATTCTTATCCTTCTTAGTGGAAGAGCTAGACAGGAAGGATGCCGGCTTGTCCCAGAAAAGGTTTGTGTTGAAGGATATCTTTTTGCATGAAATATGGCCAGACTTTATTGAGCTGTGGGGTTGACAGTTTCAAACCGTTTTTCCCCTTCATTTTTCTTCCTTTATGTTTCATTGGATTATCCTTTTTTCTTGTCTCAATGTGTCTTTTATTTGTAATAGTTTTAAGTGATTTATTGTTAATAGTTAATTAGCACCTCTATGTGTTGTTTTTCCTCTTTGTTCAAGTGCAGTATATAAGTTGCAGTTGCATTACATTTTCAAGAGAATGAACATTTTTCGTTTGTTTGTGGTATATTTGTCTCATGAGTATATTTTGAATAAAGTCATTGACATCAGGAATGACCAAGGAATCTAAAGAAGTCTATTAATTGACCCATACAAGACACAAGAAATGCATTTTATTCTCCAAACTTTGCGAATTTAATCCGAGATTGCAGCATTCATTTGCCTGCCCCCTTTTCAAGAAAGAGTTTTATGCTGTGAAAGAAATGGAGATGTCAATATGTTGTCTTTCAGGATTCAACAAACAAGTGGAGCGTCTCTGTGGATCGCTTGTCAGAATTTCAATACACCGAGCATCACCAGCGCATGTGTTGTGTTTGTGGAGCTCTTGGGTCAGGACAGTCTACTTGTGCGGTCAATGATACACACTGGACGTGTCCTTCTGTCTCACAGACTCCGGGGCTTGACCGGTGGAGCTGAAGCCAGGAAGGAGCAGCACAAGACCTGTGTCAATGATATAGGTGGGTGTGAATGTTTGCAAGTGTTTTACATCCCCCATTAACATACTTTGGATTAACACACTTTATGTCAGTTAGAAGGCAGGCTGCTGTGTGTATATATGAGCTTCTATGGTTCTTTCCCTTAATATCTGTTTCAAATATGTCACCAGTGTATGAATACAGTTTTTAAAGAAAATAGAAATAGTTTTGAAGGACAAAATGGCACAAGCAAAACGATACATCTAGACAAAGATGAAAAGGTAAAATTGTGACTAATACCATATTTGCCTTTCATGTATGGTGCAGAACGAATCTCCCTTCAAACACAGATAAAGTAGTGTTGTCATTTTGCTTTCTTTTCGGGTATAAATTGTCTCTGAGTACAGTATTCCCTTGCCAGATTGCAGCTCACATTTTGCAGATATGTCGGGGGGGGGTTCTCGCCGAAAATAGGAATTTTATTATCAGTTTCTGACCACTCTTACAGGTCTTAAATGTTGTTGTATTACCCTTTTCATTGTTAGATCCAGCTTGTAGATATATATAATTTTTGGTTAGATTATTTTTAAAATGTATACAAATGTTTTATTTCTTAAATACTTTTGGTCTCCCACAGTCCAAGGGTCAAAAGTGTTTATAGGAGTGAGAGGAAGGTTTATAAAGGCGCAAAATGTGTAATAAATATATTTTTTCTACTTCATGTTTGTTTGTTTTTGTTTCACTGGAGTTTCTGGAATATAACCCCCACAATACTTGAGGGAATACCGACTATATTATCATGACATTTGCCAGAACTGCGAGCCCTGTGTTCATAATGAACCCACAGGGTTATTTTCATGCATCAGTTTCTCTCATATGCTGTCATTTGTTGCAGTGTCAGAGCTTTTGGCCTGTGTGAAGAGTCATCGTCGTCATGGAAACAAGCTGATAAAGTCCCTAGAGTTAGCCATCATTGAGGAAATAAAGCAGGAAGGAATTGGAAGGTAAATGGAAATAGTACATATTTTGGTAGTGCTGTTGAATCTGCTCTAACAGCCTCTCTTCGAAAGCAATCACCTGTATGAACAACCCCTTTCCATTCCCCCTTTGCATTTTTTAAAATCTATATTAAGAAGACACTCTGTTTAAGACGGCTACATGTGTAAGACAACCCTTTTGCTCCTCAACAATGTGTGGCTGTCTTAGACAATTTCAACTGTACTTAATACTAAGTGCTTTGAAGATTGCTCTGATCAGTGGACAGGCAATGAAATGTGGTTCATCAGAATCTAATATACAAGGAAGCCCTTCTGATTTCATTTACTTCATTCATTTGTTTATTTAAATCCTTACCTTGTTTCTGTTTTTAGATATTTAGTATTCCAAGGTTGCCCAACAATGGTGCCTTCTTTCTTCTTTTCTGTATTTACAAGTTCAGGTTATATTTGTTGGCCTTTTATAATTCTTCCTCCATCCCCCACCCCCCTAATCTTGGTTTCTTAGAAGGGTTTTGGGGTTTTTTCTAGGATGTCTTCTGATGATTTTTTTTGGGTGTCTTTAGCTGCAGCTTTGAAGCCAGCCAGAAGTGGAACTTGGTGGTGTCCCTGTGTGAGCTTCTCTCTGTGCCGCTAATCACATGTTTCCTCAAGACATGTGCCGAGTCCGACAACTGGCTTATGTTTGTCTGGTTTGCTCAGCTTCATCAGTATCCAACACATCAGGTGAGTACCAAGATTGATAACACACAGTTGTAGTGTAATGTTTACGTTCTTTGCTGTTGCATGTAGAAGCAGTTAATTTGTTTGTAGGGTGAGGAGATTATTTTTCGGAGTATCTCCTTCTGTTTGCTGGGATACTGTACCCTACTTAGCCCACGCTATTACTGACAGGCAAGGCTGAAGCAGCCCTCAGATTCTTTTCCTTGTCATGTGCTCTCATCTAAAACTAAACATAAATTGTATTAACTGAGCTACTTGTAAATTGTTTTCGGCTGAAATAAAAATGGTCAGTTAAAGTGTTACTCTAGGCTTCAAGTGAAGTAATTTTTTAAAGTAGGCATGCATAAGACTGATGTGTCAAATACACCTATCATGTGTATTGAGTATTTGGAACACATACCATTTTTATGCTCAAATTATGAATATGATACAGTTTATGTTAAGACTTAAAGAAGAAAATTGCACTGGTATAGTCTTAGTGTGTCAAATCGGTTAATTGTTGGACACTCTTTTGTGTTTATTTTTTTTGTTCCAGGGTTACTGTTGTCCTTATGTGTTCCAGGTGAAACAGTGACAGTTGTTGTCATGCCAACTGATCACTTTTATTAATTGATATCAACAGCATCTGTAGTGTAATTGTTTTAAGGCTGTTCACTGTTGCACACTAAAGAAGTGAGTTTGGTTCCAGCTCAGTGAACTTACTCTATCAAGTACTCTGAGTGTCTGCTGGGATGATGCTTCTCCCTCAGCCCAGATTAGCAAACATGATAAGTACTGTCTAAGCAGCCTGCCTCCTAAACAGTCTTATTTGTGTTTTAGAGATTATAAAATATTTAATATTCATCTTTGGATGTCTATGTTTTTCTAAATCTATCCATCATTTTCCTCCTGACAGCTACAAAGTCTCCTGCACTCATTCCGAAGTCCCCACTTGCGTGACCATCTACACTACGTGCTGAACAATGCAGACTGTAAACTTTTCACTGCCTCCTCTCTGCCATCCTCTGTGGCCTCCAGTGGTCAGTCGGCCACCTCCAGCGAGCGTAAGTGGAACCCGAGCCAAAGAGCAACACTGTACAGTCGCATCGGGGTCCACTCCAGTAAAGGTGAATACTTGTATTTGTGCTGGTGTCCCTTTGTCGTAAGATTACCAGATTTTTGCCTCAATTTCAGTGTCAGTGTCAATCTGTCTTAATAATTGTTGAGTCTTCCATTCTTTCAAAGATTACTCTTTGTGTAAGTATCAGTTTGTCTTACTGATTGATGGATTTTTTTATCATTTCAAAGAATGTTTTGTATGTAAGTGTCATAGTTGTCTTGTAAAGATTTTTTTCTTCAAAACTTGTGTGGATTTTTTTTTTTTGGCAGGTGTCTTTTTTTTTTATCAAATACGATTGGCAATTATCCTAATTTATGCAATTTTGAGAAGTCTTTAGATTGATACAGGATAAGATTGAAGATATTTCCTCCTTATTTGTGGTTGGAATGTGAGTCCTACTTTTTTTCTTTTCCTTTGTTGCTCCTTTCTGTCTGTCTTGTTATTACCTTGCACTTGATAACCATTATTTGTTAGTGTGCTTTTTTTTACCCTGCAAACTTTCTTCTCTTCATTTTTGTTTGTCATCCTGCTGTGTTCTGAAAGTGCCAGTCTTTCTTTTGTGTTGACATCTCACTCTCTCAATGAACTCTTGAAAATGTAGATGACTGTAACTTTAAATAAAATTCACAGTGGAATCCAGTAGTGATGAAGAACCAGAGAAACAGACTGGGCTCGAAGTCTTCTCTCTGTCCTCAAGATTGAAGCAAGCAGAACTATATGGTCAGTGGTTTTGTTTATTGATGTCTCTGTAGCTGGAAACGGATTGTTGTTTACATCATGTCTTTTATTGTGAATCTTGAAGTTTCCTATGGACATTTTGAAAATCAACTGTATTATACTGTTCTTTAAATAAGTCGAGGTATAGTTTTTCCCATCTTCACCTTTGAATAAGGTAGATTTGAATGTGTTTGTATGTCATGTTACTTTTTCTCAGAAATTCTGTTTGATAAATACTCATAAAGGATGTTCAAACTATTTCCATTTCTGCTTCAGTTAAGAATATGTTTATGGCAACAGTGCTGTGAGAGTTTTGTTGTTTTTTCCTAACAGTGTTTCCTCGGGGCTTTGGTCTTGTTCTCGTGTTAATTCAGCTGAAACAAGCTGGTAGTAGAAAAATTTGTCAAGATTGATTATCAGCACCAATATTTTGTATTTGTTTTTGTCTCCAGAGTCTGACATGCCTGAGTCGAGTATCCCTGACGATGTATTCAGGATGCTGTTCCACAGCCGCTCTATGCCGTGTCAATGGAAGTGCTTGCTCTCGGCCGCTGTTTCTGTCAGGAACCCACTTCTTGCAGAGCTGGCTGTTTGTTGTGTAAGTGTGTGTTTAGTGTTGGGGTTATGGCTTAGGGCAGAAATTTTTATTTTTTTTTTCTATTTGTGATTTCAGTTGCTGTTGTGGATCACATAATGCACCTGCTTTTGTTTTTTGATTCAGTAGCATGAGGTGGTATTTGTTGGGTGTTCAGAAAAAAATTGATTCTGCTCAGGATCGACATAATCAAGCTTTAAGCACTGCCTTGAAGACGGGGGGGGGGGGGGGGGGGAGGGGGGGGGAATAAGTCACGTTTAAAAATTATTTTGTGTTGTGTCCCTGGGGAGCTTCATGGCACTACAGTTTAACGTAACACTTTATAGGAAGCACAATGGCTGTGTAAATGTAAAAATGAAAGAGAAAAATGTAATACCCTTTGGAAGATTTGAGGTTCTGAACTTCAAAACTGCTTTTCCCCCTGTAGTCCATGGTTTTTGTGAGTTCTGAATCTCCAAATTATTTTTATTTCGTTCCTTCAGGGTTGTCCAGCAGTCCCCGGCCTCTGTGGGTGGCTATTGGCCTCGTTAAGCCCTGAGGCTAAGGAGGAGTTCCTCAGCTCGCATGGTCAGCTGGTCTCCAAATGGACACTGGACCATCTAGAGTCTCTGATCTACACATTCTTGGCTCTCCAGCAGGAAGATGTGCTCACCATTGCCTTTGCCATCATGCAACCAGTGAGTTGTTTTTCCACTCTTTTTCCTGGAGGATATGCTTTTTTTTTCTTCTTATTTACCATTATATTATGTATCACAGAGAGACTTACGATTCTCTGCCCTGTTTGCTGCACTGTTCTATTTGCATTACTGAGGGATGCCATTGTTACCTTCTTCAGAATATTGAGCTTTATTTTTGGGAGGGAGGGTTGATCTCTTGTATTCTTTCTTAGCATATTAGTACTTTTTTTTTCATTACATTGCTTTCATTTGATAATGATTAAACATTTCTTAGACCTGCATGTTTGCCGACAATCGTCTGAAATCCGACAATCGCGACCCGACACGCGAGCCGGCCGATGATATCACTAGGCCCACCTGTATTAGGGCCTAGTCAATGTGCGAGGCCTGGCCGACTGCCAGGGCCCCCTTTTTCTCCCGTCGGCTTTGTCGGCACTTTCGTTTTCGTGCCGACTGCCGACGTCTGCGTTTCCGACATAATTGTCGGAACCTGAGTAGAAATGCGAATACGAAAAAGGACGACAACCTAAATTATCTACTTTCAGTTTCGTGCTCGAGCGGCCATTTGAATTTTGTTTGTTTACTGATTGTTCAGATCATGTGGATTAATTCAAGACCGACTCACTTGTTCTACTAGAATCTAGATCTAGATTTATATAGATCATTATAGACCTCAATGGACAAACCCTATCATAGGTTGTGCTGTAATATTAATGTTGGTAAAAAGCACTTCATCAGGTGCATGAATTATTTATTTATGTAGAATCTGGACTCAGCTGAGTCCCTCTGTTCAGAATCAGATGCGGATTTCTAGTTCAAGGCCTATTCCTATTCACTTGTTCTGCAAGATCTAGATCTAGATTTATTTAGATTACTAGATCTATATGGAGGATTCATATATTCCAATTCTATTGTGTTATTGTATCAAACCCTATTATTATAGCAATTTAGATGTAGGATGCTCCTTGTTTGTTTTGGAGTGTGGTTTTTTAATTTTTTAATTTTGGACTTGTGCTGGCCTTTTTACATGAGGCCCGTTCCAGGTTCTTTTTAGGGGTAGGCCTAGGGGTAGAGTTAGGTCTCTTCTTTATTGTGTTTGTTGGGGTGGTCGCTCGTTACTCGGAAGTCCTTCCTTATGACACCCACAAAAGCTTTTATGGGGGGGGGGTGCGCAAAATTTTCAGACAATCTAGTTGAGGCTCACATGCAGGTCTTATTTCTATAAACATAAAACTAAAAAGAAAATTTGAGCAAATTGTCTTTCAATGTGATCATATCCCAATACGATTTTTATAAAGTTTATTCAACATTCAACTGTAGATAATTTCTAACCTATTTTTATTCATTTATATTTTTAATTTCAGATGTCACCTGTCTTACCTTTTCTTCATTTTGTGGCTGAGTGTGTGCAAAGGGGAAAGTATGCGTCTTGTAAAACGTATATTGATCAGTTCAAAGAGGCCATGGTTGCAGTAAGTTTTTCTTTCATGTTTCTCAGTTTATTATATTTACGCACTGTCTTCAAAGTAAAATCTTTTGCGTAGAACTGATATTACTTTGTATAATGTATGAAAAAACTTTAAAGTTACAGAAGATATAATAAATACAGCTCTATATAACAACAGTACAGTTTTTATAGATTAAAAAATATATTGGATATTCACATCCCTACCCCTGCCCACATTGGCATCTGTGGTTTAGCTTTTAGATGCTTTGCTGTTACATGCAGAAGACATGAGGTTGATTCCAATGTGGGGAGATTTTTTTATTGAGTATTTCTATCTGCCTGTTGTGATATTGTGTCCCACTCATCCTGAGTTGGCCCTAACGGGCAGAGTTGAAGCAGCCTGCCTCCTAAATTATTTAAATCTTGTGGATGGAGGTATGAAGTATCTGTACATCTTCCTCATTCATTTTAAATCTGAAGTATTATTTTTATGTGGTATTATTTGCTTACAATGATAAATTGATGTTCTTATGTGGACTTGAGCTGTTGAAGCTGCAAGAGGCTGGATAACTTGAGAAAATGACCTAAAAAGTTACATTAAAAGTTTCAGATCACAAAATAAAGTTTGATTAAAAACATCAACAACAAGATTTTATAAAAAGCCTTGAAACATAAAAAGGTTGTAGTAAAAGTCACAAATCATAAAAGCCTCAAATCATTAAGAGGTTGTATTAAAAAGCTCAACAAAACGGTTGTAGTCTCATATCGCAACAAAAGTTGTATTAACAGCCACTAATCAGAAAAAGATTGTTTTAAAAATCCCAAATCATAAAAGAGATATTATCAAACGCTTTATGTTACAAGAAGGTTGTATTAAAAGCCTCATAAAAAATATATAAAAGGCCTCAAATTATGAAAGGGTGATTTTGAAAGTCTCAGCAAAAAGGTTATCTTAAAATCTAAAATTTGAATCACCTAAGTCTAAACTTTTAATACATCCTTTTGCGAAATATTTTGACTTATAAGCTCTTTTTACTTTCCCAGTGCGAGAGTCAACAGGGATTGGAGAAACAACCATCAGATGTGGAGACTATCGGGGACAGGGCTTGGTTTGAGAAGCTGGTCTACCAAATCCTGGTATATGAGCTGGGGAACATTGCTAGCCTCTACCATGCTCGGCATTTGCTGGAGATTCTTGACAAGCAGAACATGAGTTTGGTGTTCAGCTTTGATGGTGAGATATGATATCAATATATTGGTCTTTTTTAATAAATACTCTGTATTTGCAAATTTAAATCAATTCAAGTTTTGGGTTTTAGTGAAAATGTTCACACCTTTCTTGGTATCATAATCTCACTATTCAGTTGATATACATCATTGAGATTGAACAATACGAACAGTAGTAATAACATGATTTTTTTTTCCAATTGGCAACAAAACATGATTTTGTTATGATACTAGGTTTTTTAAAATAAAAAATAAAAAAGCAGTATTGCCTCTTATCTTTAAGTTTACATTGTGATTTCACTGCATTGCAGCACCTGTCAGTGGATTAGTGTTCGATATTTTTTAAAGATACTTTTTTTTGTTTCATTCTCTTTTCATTCTTTTGTTTGTTCTTTGATTCTTCTGTTCTGTTTATTAATATTTTTTAATTCCATGGACCTGAGCACCACCTGAGCTTGCGCTATGCAACACCTTTTACACTTCTGTGCACCGAATGCACATCTCATAATGTCACTACTGTAACAACCAAGTTTTTGGTGACACATGATTAATGTGACCATTCTTTAAAATTAGATTTTGTCAGTGAAATTAAAGCCAAAGCTGTCGTATTAAAAAGGGATTGGTGTTGCTTCTGCATTATTATCAATATAAATATGATTTAAGTTAAAAAAAGGGAATGGATTTGTTTCTGTAGTATCAATATAAATGTGGTCTGAGTTCAAAACGGCTGGTTCTGTTTCTGCAGTACATGTATTGGTTAAATGAATTCCATTGTGTTTCGTTTTAGATGGTTGAAAGATGCTGCTGGTAGGCCCTACTTCTTTTTGTTCCCTCTGTTGTTTATCTCTGTCTTTCTTGCCTTTTCCCTTCACAAAATGACCATTTTAGTGTCGATCTGCTTCCCTTCGTTTCAACTAAATAGTTCTTTTTTGTGTGTGTTTATCCCCATCCATGTTGTAGTGATGGATTTCACCATGCTACACAAGGTTGTGACCATCCTTCAGTCACATCTAGTGGTAGGCGTCAACCTCTCTGTGCTGCTTTCCTCTGGAAAGGGCTCGGAGGAATTCAAAGACCAGTGCAACGTCGCCATAGATTTTTTGATTGGCTGCAGCAAGTGCACAGAGGCTCAGGATTTGGCTCAAATTATTGGCATGAGCTGGGAACGAATAGCCATTTGTCAGGTAAGAGATTGAATTAGGGTTAAAAACACAACTTTATGGAAAAACTGCATCAATTTTTTTTCCTTATACTGGACTACAATTGACGGGGGAAAAGAAACAAAGAACTTTTTCTATCATAATGGGAAGTTTTTTCAATACCATGCTGCTGATTGCATGGAACTTATTTTTACCATGTTTCCTGTTACATAGTTTGCCTGGAAGGTTTCTTTTCCATTCCTTCTTCTCCTTTTATATATTTTTTTATTGCCTTCCCCTTCCATTTTGTTCACTATATATGTGCTGCATTGGAAATTTGATGTTTCATAAAGTCGTAAAGTAAAGATTGTGTACTTTTTGACCAACAGACAGCTGTTGTTTATTTGAATGTTGGATTCCTGTAAACAGATAGGAAGATTATCGAATATCACAACACACTTCTTTTTATGTGTAAGAATAAATGTTATATAGTTCTCTTTAGAACTCTACTTTATCCTTTAAAAGAATACATTAAAAATTACATGGCAGTCATCATTGCCTTTCTCACCCTGCACCAGGGTATAGGCCACAGACAAACACCTTCCACTTTTCTCTATCCTGGGCTAGCCTCTTGATGTTTTTCCATGTCTTCCCACTTTTCTGTACCTCGATTTCTGTGATTCTTTACATGGCAGTGAAGTGTGTCAAACATATTTTATTTAATGGAATGTTATGAGAAAGGGAAATCAATATTTTGTGGAATAAATCTGTGATGTGTTATTGCTAGTCTTTAGGTCAATGTCTTGTGTGATCAATTAGCTACATTATATTAAAATCGCTCTTCGGTTAATGTTTTATAGAGCACATTTGTAGTTTTGCAGTATTAGCTCTCTTCAGTCAATGTTTTGTGGGATGAATTTGCAATTATTAATTACTGTAACTCCTTAGTTAATGTTTTGTGGGAGGAAAACTTTCTTTACTCTTGTATTTGACCTCTTCAGTTAAAAGAAGAAAAACAGAAGTTGGTGAGCTGTGGACTGTGGATGGCCAGGTATGTGAGAGTGAACTACTGGGACAAGTGTCAGAGACTGTTGTCAGAAGCCAAGTGTTCTCCAGCCTCCTGCTCCTCTTTCTTTAAGGTATGTTTACACATTGAGATGGTGAGATAATGATGATTGTGATGAGCTAATCATTAATGCGGGGGGGGGGGGGTCCACTGTCATTGTGGATGCTTTATGTTGTTCATGATGGAAACAAACATAGATTGTAACTGCAGATGGCCCAAAGTCATAATCACATACCTCTCAGCCCCCCACCCCCTCCCCTCCAAGTAAGACTAATAAGATGTAAGTGTTCTATGACTATGTACATGATGTAAGGGAAATACAGATGTTTTATATCGCGCTCTATGTGTGTGTATATTGTGTGTGATAAGAAACAAATTGTTACCTTGGTTTGCCTGTTTTTTTTACATGCGCTGTAACACCAGTTTTTAATTCTCAAATCAGGACCAATTCTTTTGGTTTAAAGATCCATTCTTTTGGTTTAAGTTATGTCTTTTGCATACCTGCCAACCCTACAGAAAAAATCGGTAGATCACCGACTTTTGGGTCAAACTACCGATCCACCGATTTTGAGATGAGCCACCGACTTCGGGATTCAGCAGGGTGACTGCCAGGCTCCGGGAATTTGAGAAAGTTATCAAATATTTGAAAACCAAATCCGATAACGCCCGAAAGTTCATTTTTGCCGGTCGCGATTGTAATTCATTCGGCTCCCTCGAGAGTATGTTTCTTCATGCAGACAGGCGGCGATGGTGGCAAGCGGGTGTGATACCGATGTTTGATCGGGATAATCAAGATATACTTTCACTTTCGTTACCACCCAGAAATTTGCTGGTAGTAGTTTGATAACGCAACATTAGTTGTAACAGCATGCAGGCTGTGCATGGCAAACGCTGTGTCGCCTTGAAAATAAATCAATATTTTTCCTGTGCTGTCACTTGTGAAAAAAAAAAGAAAAGAAAAGAAAGTTTTAGTAATACAAGCGTCTTGTCGGGTTCGCCATTGTGACCGGTCAATGAACTTGCGCGTTCCATCACATTGTGAGCACCGGCACTTGTGGGGGTCACCAAAGTTCATTTAAAGTCTGAGCGCTGCGTAGTATAGGACTCCGGAATGGGGGGAGGATTATTTTTTTTAAAGATACACTCGGGGGAGGGGGGGGGGCAGTGAAGGCAACACCAGGCCAGGGGACAAAAACTGAACTTTGAAGCTAATTTTAGTATTCTAAATTTTTGATAACCTCTAGATCTAGAAAACTCTCTGCAAAACGCGTGTTGGTGCAGGCCTTGTGTGGACTCGGGATCCGTCATACTCTTTCCTTGCAAACTCTGCAAAGACAAAAGGTCAAAAGGTCAAGGCTAGCTAAGTCATCCAAGGCCCACCTTTTCTTCATCTTTGCTTTTGTTTTTGTTTTTTGGGGGGTTTTTTGGGTTTTTTTTTGGGGGGGTTGTGGTTTTTTGGTTTCATTTGTGTGTGTGTTCGTGCAGGTATGAATAGGACAGGAACTGCACCAACTACTAATAGGGTAAATGCCTCTGGTAGTTTTCATATTTGTCATTTTTTCTTTGTCATTTTCTACATTTGTTTGAAGTCGCAAACACAATCATGCATATTTGATGTGGGTCAAAATAAAATATTAATAAGGGTCCCAAATTAAGTATGCGACAAGAGGTAATATAGCCTACTACAGATTTTTTAGGTCAACTACAGATTTTGGGACAAAAATGTGCGTCCAACTACAGATTTTGGCCCAGGCAATGTTGGCAGGTATGCTTTTGTAGATAATGAAGGAACACGCTTATAGTGTTAAAACTTAAAAGGGATTTTTTGGACTTCAACAACTGTAAGCCTCTTAAAAACATTTGTTTCACTAGGATGAGCTGCGTAACACATCAGTGGAACATGAGAAAGCAATAGTGTGTCAGCACTGGCATGCCTTGCTGGATGGGTACAGTGAGTCGGAGGTTGTCGCAGAGAGAGAGAACGTTTTTCGAAGAATATGGAGACATCGCATCGCAGCAATGGTAATAAGCACAATATTATGAATATATTTGTAGAATTGAATGGAAAAATTGTAAGTGTCTATATAACATATTCATATCAATAGCTTTCAAAGGGTATGAACTGAAATATACCTGAACTATTTCTTCCTGTTGTAGTAAATAGCAGTATGCTCCTAAACACTTGAAATTCACAAAATTTCTCAAAACTCCTTTTAAAAAGTGACTTAACAAGTTTTTTTTATCAAGCTCTTCATTAGCTTTTATGTCTGCAGATTTTATGCTTTTAGTTCCTGAAAAAAAAGCAATCACAGTTGATTATTTAATGTATGTAGTAATAAGTAGTTGAGATTATTTTTTTCTTTGATTATTTGTGCAGTTAAACATTTAAATGATTTCAATATTCATGAGTTTGCAGGAGTTTCTTTGAATTTTAAAGCATTTTTTGGTTGCAGTTAAACTTTTTATTCATTTTTTAGTACTTTGTATGTGATGTTTTTACCAAGTACTCTAAAAAAACGAGGAGTGGAGTAAAAGATGTGCTCTCATAACTCAGATCGGCCTTGCCTGGCTTTGAAATTTTTCTAATAGATAGAATAAATTTTTATTTTAAGAAATGGCTTTTTTAAATTTTCCGTTAATGAAACTAGTATACCTTTAAAAGATATTATAATTCCTCATTTTTTTCTCCTTTGAAAAGATTTGTTATTTATATGAGGGATAAGTAGATCTATAGCTTTGATGGATTCCGTGTATTTACCCAAATAGGTGTCTGTGACTGAAGTGGATTCTCTGGACTTGATATTCGATGATGTCCCCCTGAACACAGCATCAAAGAAGGATTTGAAGTCTGAGCTGTTGCGAGGGTTGACAGTTCCTCACGAGCTCTCTGACTCTCAGGAGGATTTGACTACTCAGGTGATGGTAGAGGGAATATGTCACAATGATAAAACTTTGGTACTTTATGTATCAGCTATTTTATAACAAATTCTATTTACTGGAAAAAAAAGAAGGTTCTCTCTCTTACATTCTAACTTCCAAATAAGCATAAGCTATTTGCAATTTTTCTTCAAAGATGTCTGTCCTGTGTTTCTTTTACAACTTGTATTCAAATTTCGCCCTGGGCATCTGCCTACACCTTGTAGCCTTGTCCTTCCTCTGCAAGAAAACGATAATTGATAAATGGCCCAATGCAGCTCCAAAGTAGATCTTTACCAAAAAATGTAAAAGGCATGTCATTGTTTTAGTAGAGATTTACGGCGCTCGCAACTGCATAAGTTCATATGAGCGCCAAGGGGTGGATGTCTACAGAGAAGTCTTTACAGGGAATAAGATTTACTCTGCTCACCTCTCTAGCTTCAACAGCACAAAGTCTGCTTCGACTATCAAGGCGTCCCGGAAATAGCGGTTCTCAAGAGTGTGACAAACATACAAAAGGAGTAGAGGAAAATGACGATAGTAAGGATTAGGAAAGAAAAAGCAGCAGTTCCCTGTTTTAGTTTAGGCGCAGTTATGAGCATGACATTGTTGGATCCGCCCATTTACAATTCTTCTGTGCTTTAGAACGAGAAATGTCCTTCCTTTGGGAATGGCCTAAAATTTCAATAATGCTCAATAGTTCAGCCCTTATACAGAGAGCAAATGAGTTCAACAGTTTCTTTGCCTTCAGCCCATAAGACTCTATGAGGTAGATGCGAAAGTAAGAGGGCTTTGTTATTTTATTTACTTGCTGTAAAACAGGAGCTTGTTTTACTGCTTTCATTGTTGTTCTTGTTAATGCTGTCTTAGCAACTTTTCCTTTTTGTAAAAATCACTTTTAAATTATCAAATATGGGTAAATGCTCTCTCGTACACTGAAAATATTATGTAATAATCAAAGGACTGAATGTTTCTCAACAGGAGCTTGAAGTGCTCGATTCTCTCATGGGGTCTCACCTAGATTGTGGACTCATCGGTGAATGCAGCCAAGTGGCTGCTGTGTTTGGCCATTACAACCAGGACTTAGCCATAATTCAGGTAATATATTCAGTGTGAATTTCTCTGCAATTGATTGTACTGTACCTTATCTTCGTTTCATTTACTGTCAGCTGTACCTTACATTGCTTCTTTTACCCTCATCTGTACTTTGCACTTATTTCTTTTCTCTCAGCTATCCCGTATGCTTGTTTCTTTTACCCTCAGCTATACCTTACGCTTGTTTCTTTTACCTTCAGCACTTGTTTCTTTCACCCTCAGCTATACCTTACATTGCTTCTTTTACCCTCAACTATACCTTACATTGCTTCTTTTACCCTCAGCTATACCTTACATTTGTTTGTTTTACCCTCTGCTCTACCTCACGCTTGTTTCTTTTGCCCTCCACCTCCTCCTTCTTCTCTGTATGGAGATGCCAATATAGCTAATGTTAAACCATTAACCATGTTGACTGTACAGTTATGTGACAGATTATTTCAGACAAATTTTTTAGAGGACTTGAATATTCTCCAATTATTCATTAGGACACACAGAGAATATTTCAAGAAAAAAAATCCTGATGTTCTTTTTGGGTGATGTGGGTTTACATTTTATTTTCTTTGTTTGACAGACGTGCAGTGCTTTAGCAAGCAGACAGATTGGCTTGGATGGCATTGAGCCAGCAATGAGACGTCTTATCTCAAAGACAGCAATAGGAAGGATCAAAAGACGTTCTTCTTCCTTCAGTTTATCCAGCTCTTTCAGTGGTGAGAATATTTCAGTGTCACATTCTTTTTCCTTTGTTTATCACAAACCCTCACACACTCAAACACGCATGCACTTACACAGATACACATGCCCAAATGCTAGCTGACTTGCACACATGCATTGTATAGGTGTCACAGTTGTTCAGTTTGCCAATCACGCTCATTCTCATATACTCAAACACACTTGCACACTTACACTCTTACACTCTTACACACACACACACACACACACACACACACACACACACACACACACACACACACACACACACACACACACACACACACACATATATGCTTTGAGAACACATTGGTGTCACTTTGGTTACTTTCCATGCACACCCTCACTGAATCATACCCTGACACACACAAGCATACTCTCAAGGAGTGTGCTACTGTAGGTCTTTTTTGTTTTTTACCTGAATTTTTCAGTGTGTTGCTTTTGCACAGCATAACATGAGTATTTCCCCAATTATGTGAAAGTTATGAAAGTGTGCTTTAATAAGAAAAGAGCAAACTCAAAGATGGAGCTACACAATCCTACTTACAATAGTTCATGTGCTTATCAATTGTGTGTCAAAAACCAAACTTCCACTTGAGTTTATGAGTCTACAGCTGTTTATTATTTACTTCATTTTTCTCTCATTCCATAATATAGTAAAGAATTTATCAATTCATTAAAAAAAATTCTTAATTGAATCTTTTGTTGGTGACTTTTAACCATTTGACTTACATGAATTCCTTTTTCTTTTTCTTTTCTTTTTTGTAGTCACTCTTTTTATCTTATTTTTTTCAGTTTCAAGTGGAATTGACAGTTTGGATGATTCTGGCCTACAAGATTCAAATGAAATCAGCTCAGCTCTGGAAAAATTGCTCTCTCATTGCATGAAAGGCAGTCAAGTGTGTCTCCACATTATCACTTGCTTCAAGATCGCTGAGGTAGGATTCATATAATATGTTATATTTGGTTTCACTATTAAAGCACATTTCGTCAATTATGGGTTAACAATTGTTTATCCTAACCCTGTGAAAGTGAAAACTTTGTTGACTTTTGAATGATCATGGTCTTAAAAGGGTACTGCATTTGTTCTAGTGGGCAACCATTTACTAATAAACAGTGAACCAAGCTGATGTTCTCTGCAAGTGGGATTAGTTTGACAATGATAATGTAGTTTTTGTATACAGTGGTACTCTAGATTATGGGAATAAATATGGACCTTTTTTTTTCCTCAAGAACTATAATTTTGTCTGGACTTTGAAGCTCCTTCTGTGAGTGTATGTTAAGATGGATTTGATTGGGTTTGGATCTTGTTGGGTTGTATTTGGCCAGAAATGGGGAAAGAACAGAATACAACTCGCTCATGAAATTGGTAAATGATAGGACCAAATAATGTTCTCCCGGCCCGAGGATACCTTATGGACATCATTGCGTGAAGAGCAGAGGATTAATGAAGTAACTGAGAAGGCAAGTAACAAATAGACTCACTGCACACCAGCAGAAAGGGAATGGGGGCACCTACTTCTGTGTATAGTCTCTACATGAAAGCTTTTCTGTCTTTTCTTTACACTGTCTTATGCCTAGGCCTAGACCTCCTTTCTTAATTGATAACTGACATGACGAAATGAAGTTATTGCTTCTATGAAGAGTATTGTGACAAAATCACTTCTGATCTTTGCAGATTCTTGGTGTGAATTATGGAGACATTGTGATGGCCCCTGAATTCGAGTCTCTCCAACAGCTGCTGAGAGCTGATCATCCCAACAAGTTTGTTTTGGCTCGAGATTTTCTCGTCACCAGTGGCTTGTCTGACGATGAGGTAATGTCTCAAAACTCTTGGAAGAACTTAACAGCTGTCTATTTTACCCTTTAAAGTTCATGATTCCCCATGTAGATATCAGTTCTACATGCAGTTCTTCATATTCCCCTGAAATGTATTCTCTAACGGATTCAAGTAAGTGTCATTTTGTTAATTAACTGTCATTTCTTTTTATTAAATGGTTCATGTCTCAGAATTTTGACTGACTGACATTTTCTTTTCCAGGTGACAGGGTTTTTGGCTGATGCGATTGTGGATATGCTAAAAATGTTTGTGAGAGGCCATACTGACTCAGGTAATGATGAGTAAATAAGTAGATTTTTGTGTAACTTGAGGAAAATGTTGAGCTACATAGTATCATTATTCAACAATGTTTTTTTTTCTTTAGTTTAAACACATTTTTCTTTGTTATGGGTCTATACTCCTGATGTCTACACTCACATAGATGAAATGAGTCTACATTATTCTAGCCTCTTGGATATCTTATCAGAGATCAGACATTGCAATGCCTTTACTTGAAATAAAAGGGATCTTGGAGTAGAATAATAAAGTGTACTTTAGAGGTTAGACATTTCAAAGCTTCTTCTTAAGTAAATGGAATTTTGGAATGTAATCAGAGATTTTCGAATGCCTTGATTAAAAGTAAACAGAATCTAAGATTATGATAAATTTTTCATGTTCTGCAGATTTTGATTTGGACATGGGAAGCTCAGGAGTAGAGCTAATGTTCAACCCGGCGGATGGCATGGAGGTTTTCGCCCAGTTTCTGAAACTGTGTGAGAACACAGCATTGCTTGGAGATCGCATCTTACAGTCTGTGGCATCTCTGGCACCGGACAAAAATGAGCTATCAGCTACAGGTGGATTATGATTTGAGTTCTGAGTCGTGTCATTAGAAATGTTTGCTTTTTTTTTTTGCTTTAGAATGTAGAAAAAGGAGGTCAAAGCAACAGTGGGTGGTTGGCAGGTGCTCTGGTGTGGTTTGCTCCTTCGTTTCTATCAAACATCTATCAACCTAATCTCTCCTCCTCCTTTTCTTTGTACGTTACTATCTAGTAGTATCATCTCGAATCTTTGGCACATTTATGGCTTTTTTGTGTTGCAAGTGGCGTAAAACTAACCATACCACCCCCACACCCCCACCCCCCTGTTAGCTGATTCAGTGCTGTGTTAACGTTTGCGGACTTACCTCTCTGAACTGAACAATTTTGCCATCAAGTGTTGGTTTACACTCACACACATACACGCGCGCACACACACACACACACACATCTACACATTCTCACAGACACCCATATGTATCACATACACCCACATGCTCTTACAAACTCACATTATATTATAACAAACTTATTTTTGTATTTTGTGTAAATTTTGCTAAATTTTCCTCCTGTTTCATTTTTTCTGTAATCAACTCTGGTGTTGAGAGTAGTTTTTAATCCTACCTAATAAATCCTTGAAAGGAACTACTTTATGCTTTCTGGTTACTGATGCAATTCAGTTCATTTACAAACAAAATATGAATTGTTATCGTCCTGATCAGATCTGACCATCCAGACAGAGCTGATAGTTATGTCACACGAATGCTACACGATCTCATCCAACATGGAGGGGATTTCTCATGTCCTTCGTGCAGCCAGAGTGTGCTGTGACTGTCTAGCCGAAGCGGGAGAGTTCACCCTCATGGTACTTTTTGTTGCTTGTTTGTTTGTTTGGGATAATGGATGCTGTATAAACACAACCATAGCCCTCTAGTCCTGACACATGTAAGAAATTGCATACAATATGCGGATGGTTAGAGGATGCAATTGGTAAACCTACTTCTTTTCTTTCCCTCAGTTTTTATATCTGTTTCTCTTGATTTTGCCTGCAACACTAAATTATCTTTATTGTGTTGATGTACTTCTCATTACCCAAAATGCTCAAAACAAATAGCACCGGTTACCTTCTTAGTGTGGATAGTAACCTTTGTTTTATCTTCTCTCCTCTGCTTATTTCCCACCTTTCATTTTTAATTTCTCCTAAGATACAGTTCAGGCTTTAGGGTAAGGTAAGTTTTAGCTATTCAATTGTCAGTAATTTTTACCATGAATAGATCTGTATTTTGTCATACATCATTTAAAAAAATATAAAAAATTTGTTTATGGATATGACTATGTCATCATGGGTTTTTTTTCAGATTGTTGATGATAATTCAGGATATTTTCTGGCTTTTCCATCTGATCAAAAATTTTAATCTACTAAAAATTCTATGATTTATCTTCAGATTCGGCTCTTGACCGGTGTTGGGAGATACAGCGAGATGTTGTATGTGTTTCATGCTCTCCAAAAGCATCACCAGTTTGAGCTGCTTCTTCGTAAAGGAATGGACAGGGTAAGATTTGTGAATGTCTCTAGTTAATTAAATGTCTGTTCTGCTATTTACAATCATTGGTATACTTTCAAAATATATACTTTGACATTTTAGAGTATTTAGATTTTTCCTCTATATTCTTTTTATGGAAGACACAAGCATGGTCATCTCTTAAGTCGTCATTAATTTGTGAGAATTAATATTTCTTTTGTTGAAATAATGAGAAATACTGTTGTTCTTTTGGAATAAAACATGCTTGCCGAAGCATCAGGAAAGATTGAAACATTGTTCTGTTACAGAAAAAAAAGGTCTATAGTTCAACAATTACCCATAGTTGGTGCATTCTTATCACAGTTTCGAATTCATTGAGCTCATGCTGTAATGTTTATAACTTTTACATCTTTGCTTCCTTCCTCTTTCTATACCTATCAGGAAGACAAACTAAAGGTTGCCATTCTGGACTACCTGAAGCGGTACCAGCCCGATGACAATGAGGCTTACACAATGGTAGCCCTCAAGTTCTCAATGTTCAGGGATATTGCAAATATGCTGGAAGCCTGTGGACATCGCTCAATGAAGCATCTGAAAGAGAAATCTCTTGGTAAACCAGTTTCTTGTGAATCAATTTTTTTGTATTTTTAAATTTCTTTTTGTTTGTTTGTTTTGTTGTTTGTTATTTTTATTGGGGGGGGGGGAGGTTTCTTGGTTATTTGTCTTTTTTTGGGGGGGAGGGGGGATGTCTGTAAGATGGTGTGAGGGATGCACTGGATAAGGGGCGAGTGTAGGTAGATGGTGGGGAAAGAGGATCAGAAGACAGGTTGTTCTTTGTTATAATTGATTGTGTCTGTAATTCAATGTCGCTTTGTGCAATTTTGATGCTCAGAATAATATACAATGTTTTCCTTTCTTTTATCATATTCATCACCCGCTATGACTAACACGAATACTGCACTTTCAGACGGTCTGTATTTTTTAACATATAAACTGATTCGAATATATGTCTTTTATTTTCAGATAATTCAAAAGAGTGTCAGGACTTACTGAAGAAGTGTTTGCAGTATTTTCAAGATGCAGCAGAAAGCTATGTGAAGGTAACACTCATATTGGTTACTTCACTTACACTTTTGAAATGCAAGTGTTTAAGAGAACCAGGTTCCTCATTTTGTTTTCATGTGTATGTGTACATGCTTTGGGGGGGGGGGGGGGGTGAGTGAGAGAGAGAGAGAGAGACTGTATTTATTTGTCTATTGCCACCATTATTGAATAAGTGCATTTTTTTCCTTTTATCCGGAAATATACCAAGCTGTTACGCCATGGAAATGCGCTATATCAATGTGATCCATTATCATTATCAGTTTAGAGATGTTCAGGTACCGTCGATTTTGTTTTAGTATAAAGAGAATTCATGTCCTCTCATAGGGAATGGCTCTCCTAACCTTTGCTGCTTGAAAATCCTTTATGATAGCTACGTAGGTATTGTTACACCAAGGAGGACTTTACGGCCTGACATAGACTGGATGTGTTGTTTTTTAACTACAATGTTGGGCTTTGAATTGAAAGAACATAAAAGTGTCTGTCTGTTGTACTTTCCTATCTTCAAATGTCTTCAGATTTCACATTGCTGCTACTGCCAGCTATTGTTTCTTCTCCACAAATTAAAAATGTTTTTATATGAAAGAAGGTAAATAGAGGGTGCCACTGGTAGGTACAAACAGCTGTGATGTGTGCTTTCCACAACTGCAATATATTTTGTATTTCATGACTGTGATATATTTTGTTTTCTACATCTGATAGATTTTTTTAATTTCTGAATCGTGATACATTTTGTATGTCACAACTATGATATCTATGTATAATTCACAACTGTGGTCTGTTTATTTCTCCCAGGATAACAGTGTGAGAAAAGCTCAAAGATGCATCAAATTGGCAAGACTTCTCTCCCTTCAGCTGCAGCTTCTGTCAAGCGGACTCGTGGTGATATATCTGAGCAAAGACGAAGTCACAAACTTCATAAACACTCATCCACGGTACATTGAGGTAGGTTCATTTTCATGACCATTCTAGAATGGAATTCCAGTGGTTTCCGTATGAACCAAAATCTGACGGACCGACAGGATTTTCAGCAATTTAATAGTGTTTTAGGTTTAGAGATATTTCTCAAATAGCAACAACTGTCGACATTGTAAAATTGGGAATTCAATGCTTGCGAGAATTTCACTTTTTGAAAGTTATTTTACTCATGTAGGCTACCTTTTGCCATAATGGCAAGTTGAGCTACAGGCTGTAAGCATTGAGTTTTCTCTTCGACATTGTCAGCTTGCTTAATCTGCTGAATGATCACACAGAACAGATGAAAGAGTAGATCAGCGCACTCTACTATGGTCTGTGCTAGGCTAGAGAAGTGAGCATTAGACATATAATACACCACATGCTGTCACATGAACTAGCCATGACCATCTGATAGACATACTTTCGCTATCCTTGCATCATCAGGCACGTTTGTTCTCGTGTTTCTGTCTTCTGTTTTGGTATCTTGAAGTTCTTAAGACATAATGATTTGCGTTACTTTAGGGTTGCTAGTGAAGATGTAAGCAACATAACCCTCAAAATTCTTTACAGTTTATAAGTAGGAACATTTTGACGAATCGATAGTTTTCCTATAAAGACAAAGAAGAAAAAATTGTAGATTATATTTCCTGTCAGTTAATCGGTGTTTTCAGATTAACACATTACACCCTGAGGGTCTGAGGGGAAGTCCATTGTTAGATCCTAAGCAAGGGGAAGGAACCCACCTCCCGTGAATACAAGCCTTTAAAAAACACATTTTAAAAATACTAAACAAATTCCAAAAATCCTGAAAAAATAATAGTTAAAACGAAAAATGAATGTAGTTTAAGGAAAATATAACTTAATGTATGCGCAAACTGTTGAAAATGTTCTAACTTTAGTTCAATCGGGGTGTCCGACCCGTCACTCTCACTCTCACCCTCACGGTCGGGCCCCAGATCTAAATTCTAGATTTTCTACGTCTGATCAGTCTGAATCGCCCCAAATTCTTGCTACGTTTTCATCAAAATCTGAGTCATCTGATTTGTCGTATGCTTGTTTTTGCTCAAATCCATCGTTATTTCCTTTTTCAAACTCAATTGTGTCGCTTTTCAACAAGTCGAGACACCTTCGAAGTGTCGGTAACGCGATCGCACTTCGTTCGGCTCTAATTTTAATACTAAAACTACTGGCCCGAAAATTTCGTTTCGGTATCAAACAAAAGAAGAAACTTTTTGCAATAACTATTCAAATCAAAATCTCAGCCCCGGAGTCTTGTCAAGGCGAGACTTCGTTTCTAAAGACGCTAGGTCGGCGCGGGCGGTTCCGGGCGAGCCAGGGTGGAGCGCGTAAGGGAATTCTCGGGCGGTACTAGGCGAGTTAGGGTGCAATGTGTTAAATGTGTTCGATTTAGAAAGACTCCACTGGTTTGTCATTTTCAGGAGTAAAATTGTTTCTTTCAAAATCGGAAATTTTGTCACTTTCAGAATTGGAGTTATTGTAAAGTAACTGTTAAAATTTTGATAATTGTAGCTTTAAAAGATAGAATTGTTGTAGTTTCTTTTTGAAGTAAGAACAGCTGTGATTTTTTAAATTTGAAACTTTGAACTCTTAAGAGTAACTCCAGCTCATTTTATCTGTTTTATTGTTACACCTTTATGTATTCTCAATTGTTCTCGATAGAATGTGACCATTATCATGCTGACTTGCTGTAGCATCTTTCATTGTGCCCAGAGATCCATCTTATAACAACTGGAATAAATTAACTCCACCAAGTCATGATTCTCATCCAGATTTCAAAATGGCAATTAATCATAAAAACGAAAAGAAGGCACTTTACACACGATACCAAAGCAAAAGTGATCATAACTGAGGCAGTTTATCGAAACAATAAGAGTCAAATTTGTGAAGATTTCAAACTGAATTCCGGCACTTTTTATTTAGAATTAATTTACTCAAATAGTGATTTTGGACTTATTATATATTACGACGTGAAATATTACAACTGTAGTAATGAGATATTGTGTTTTACCTGCTAATTTTCATTTCCTAGTTTGAGTGAGTGTAGCTTTTGTTTTGAAATTAAAATTACATTACATACAGGACAGGGGATTCTAATTCAGAATGTCATTTTTTGGGGTGACAGGCGATGGTAGTGTCAGATGCGTATGAGCGGCGTGCAGACTGGGCTGAGGCCATCTACAACAATGTGATTGTGACTGGAGACCTGCGCTATCTGCAGGAGATGAAGCTGCATGTTCTGATCACTCCAACAATTGTGGAAGATGTGGTGAAAAGGTAAATTTTGTGGTACCATTTAAGAGCTTTGCTTCAGTCATTACTGGTTGGTGGATGGTTGGAGAGGACTGCTAGTAGGTCCTACTTTGTTACCTTCTTTTTTGTTTCTGTCTTACTTTTTCCTTTGCACTTAATGACTTTTGTATCAGTATGGTTCTCTTTACTCAATCAAAACAAAGTTACCAGATGATTTGCTGCACTGTTCTTGTGTTCATTGCATTGTTTTTATGAGCAAATAAATCAAGCTAGTGGCTGCAGGTTAGGTCTTACTTCTTTTTTTTCTGCCTTTCCCTCTGTTGTCTGTTGTGTCTGCTTTTCCCCTGCTCGAAATGACCATTATTGTGTCTTTACTCGACTGAAACAACTGCTGTGTATAAGAGAGTGCGAGCAGGGAAAGGCATTATCATATTAATTGCTTCTCTTTACCCTGACTTAAAACTAAGACTTGTGTGTGTGTATTTGAAGCTTTATGAAAGTAAAAGGTAAGCTTGTGCAACTTACACAACTTTTGCCTCCTCCTCCAGGTACAAGCAGGCTAGTGTCAAACCGACCGGGGGTTTAATGTCAATCCGGAAGCTCTTGGCAAACTGTAAAGACGCCCAGATGCAGTACAAACTGGCCTCAGAGCTGGGCCTCACAGACGTGGTCAGCACTATGTTGAAGGGAGATACCGGCAGTTTCCTTCAAGATCTCACTGTCGTGTGAAAATGAATATTTATAGTGTTTTGCTACAGTGTAACTCGAAGAAATACATCAACTTTTTTATTGTTCCAAGGCTACTGCCAAGGTCATTCTGCAGGTCCTCAATGAAGTCCAGGAGTCAGCATGCACTAAAAATTATAAGTAGTGAAAAAGCACTGCGGGCTGAGCCAACTTAAGTGCTTTCTCTTGTCAGAATTTTAGTTGTTTTGGTTTTTTTGGCGTGTTGAAAATTTTCAAGAAACTGGTTACACGTTGGAGCATAACACCATTGATATGAATAATGTGTAGGCCTGCAATAAACCAAATACATTTCCCATTCAAATGCAATGCTTTGTACACACTGAACATTTTGTGAAATGATATTATTGAGTTTGTTAATTATTAAAATGTTATAAATATTACTGTTTTTGAAGTTTTGTGTGTAAGGAGATACTGAGACAACTGTTTTAATTTATGTGGAATGCCAACCAACTCAAAATTTAATATTGAATACAGATTTTTATGATTAGGTTTTTGTTTTAAAGATGTGAAACAATAGTCTACATTGCTCTTGCAAGTGCTGAAGTCTGTATCTAAGTGACTTGTGTACATTACCCATGACTATGAGTTTTATTTACAATGCATTTCATTGAGTCTTGTGATTTCTTGTACAGTATGCAATTATTGCCGTAAAATTCAAAGTGAGGATGAGTGAGAGGGTTGTGAAAATACACTTCTAGTTTATCCAACTGAGAAAAAACTCTGGTTAGTTTTGTATGGAAACATGTTGTACGCTTGTCTTTTCTTAGGATGAACTAGTTTGATGGGGATTTTTTTTGTGGAAGGGGTAATGTTTTTTTCTTTAATGTTTATATATCTTTATAAGAGATCAGCACAGTTTTCTCTCTAATTGGAAGACGGTTGTGTCACCTTCAATTCTGCCATTCATTATTTGATAACCCACAAACTCCTATAATTCTAGTTTTGTTTGAAAAGCAAAACCACAAAGTCCATCTTTGTGATTGGCATCACAGGAAGGAATTGTTTGTTTGAGGGGTTTTTTCCTTCATGGAAGAGTGTCATAGACTGTTCCTATTATTGTGCCTTTCCTGCTTTACCTTGTACTTGTATGGTGATTACAAATTCAAGATTCTTTCCGCAGTGACGATATATGATGGCTAGACAGACGATTTTTAATTCAGGGCCTTCAGATGTGCACGAACTACCTCAAATGAGTTAACAAGGACGGTCTGCAGACAAAATTATAGTAACTTCACTAGCTTGGTTTATGGCTGTTTAGTCTGATTGAGGAGAAGCACATTAAATAGACACAATAATGACAATGTAGTGCACAGAAAGAGCAAGATAGATGGGAATAAATGAGGTAAAGAAAGAAGTAGGACCTACCAGTGGTGCAATTTTTTTTAAAATATATAGTTATTGTGGCATTTTATTCTTTTTTTTTATATTATTGAATGGCAAAGTTTTATCGCACACCTGAGTGTTAGATCCTTCTGATCTAATCGAGAAGAGATATCCTGCTCACTTAGCTGGACAGTTAATGTCATGACCTTTGTAAAATCCGGTGTACTACTCTTAGTCTTATTTGTACATAATTTTTAACTTGAAATTCAAATTGAATGATCCCAAAAGTTTTTGTTGTGAGAATGAGATAGAAATCTACATTAAGACATGAAGGATATTTCTATTTTAAAATTTAAAAATAATCAAATTGAATGTATAGAGTTGGATGTCCATCCTTTCACTGGTGATGTTTTTGTTGTTAGGATTTCATATATTAATTTGTTATTTTATATCACTAGTCAATGCTTACATATGTTTAGTTGGCTTGTCTTATAAACTGTAATATTACTTGTATATTTGTGAAAAAAGAATAACATTTTATACCTCACAGTACAGTGCCCCTGGTGGTGTACAAAATAAATTAACAATATCTTTCTGTAGTAGTGGGGACTCAGTTAGCTCAGCTGGTAAAATGCTGGGCTTTACGCAGATGACAATGGTCCAAATTCCCATTGAAGTGTCATTGAACTTGGGTTGTGTAGGGAGTTTTGAAGGCTCTGCCTTATTGGCTTGATTCTGTCGGAGATGGATGTTAGATTCAAGGCCCTATCTCTGAAATAACTTTTCAATATTATTGAAAAGGGGTGTTACATTGATACAATTACCGTTAACTGTAAGAAGCATTACACCGTACATGAATGTACATTATTGTAGCAGATCAGGGAATGAAGGTATGTCCTCAAAGAACTGTTGTGTGAATGAAGATGTTCGGTTTGTTCAAGATCATGAAAATTCTACTGTTATTTATTTTGACATGAGAAATATTCTCTTAAGTCTTTCATAAGGCTGTGGTCCTACTCATAATTGTGTGTGATTTTTCATAGCTTTTCTCTCTTGACCATTAATGACTTTTTAAAAATCACAATGTAATGAAAATCATAATTCGATGTGTTTGATGTAATGGCAGTTCCCCAAGTTTTGAAGACTATTACGATACTTGTTGGTTGAATAAAATTTCAAATGAAAGAAACTACCAAATATTGTTACGCATCTAGATATAGTGATTTTTTTTTTTACTTCATCAATTGATCATTAATTATTTATGTTTCTTTCAAACCCCCTTTCAACAAACAATTGAAAAGGTCTTTGGAAAAGTAGAAAGGAGACAGAGTGAACCTTTTTAAACAAGTTGAGCTGTATTACAATGAATACACTTTTCACAATCCTGAGTTTGTACTCAAAATCAAAACTGATTTGTAGGACCAGTTGCTGTAGCACAGCCAATCATGCACTTGGTTAACTCATGGAAGTTCTAGATCTATTTCATGGGAGCTCTTATAGCTTTTCTTCCTTCTGACAAAAACTTTTCTCTCTGTCCCAAGTCCTGGAAGGGAACAACTTGGTAACTGTAAGGGTTTACCCTCTTTCAACACAGGTTATATAAATTTAAGAGGCAGGACTCCTAAAGTTAATGTCCCTCTCCAATAGGAGGACCAAGACAAGTAAGCACAGAGACTTCAAAAGTCCTCAAACAATCCAACACTCAAGAATACCTTTTGTAAATTCAAACCACAGTCATCCATTCCACAGCTCACCATGAAACAGTTCACAGCACACCCAGGAACCAGGTGCTTTTCTGATGAAGTTCATGAAGTGAACAATTAAGTTGCTAAAATTACCAAAAACATGCAAACAGACCATTTTGTAGAATGCACTTCAGGAAGTTCAATACAGGTACAACCTGGATCTTTAGGATAAAAATTCGCATACTGAAGACGGCATAATTTTGATACAGAAAAGTTTATTTTTACTACAAATATTGTCAGACAATTCAAGGGAATCATAGACTGAATGAACACCTATTATGAAAACAATTCACATATATAACCAATCACTCTAAATCACATTCACACAGCACTTACAGCAATATGGTCCGATAAAATACACCTTGGTATTCAGCAGGGTTGCCAGTTTTCTGGCTTAAGCCGAAATCCTGCTTTCGCAGCTTTTCTGGCCGAGATCGGTAGAGCCATGAAAATGTTTCCTGCCTGGTCGGAAAATTGTAACCTGACACTGGCTAAGCCTGAAGGAAGACCAGAACGGGTCATTGAACTCTTGTGCATTTCCGGTTGGTCGGTTGGAGCTGAGCATTATTCTTTTCTTTTTTTTTACGAACAAATAAGTAGCCTACCTAGTATTTAAGCAATCCAAATAATCAAAACAAACTGCATTTAGCAGATGGAAAAACAAAGCAATAAAAAGCAAAAACAGAAAAAAAACAGCTACAAGCCTTTATGCTCTAGCAGACTTCCAAAGAAAAGAAATACTCTCACAGTCAAGAAAGAGGGAGGGGTCAAAAACTGGCTGGCACCTCCTCCAAGAGCAGAAAGTAATTTCTTTCAAGACCTTCCCCCATCCATTACACGCATCAATATGCAATTATTGGTGAGATCTATTTTTTTTTTTTATATTTAGGCTTTTCTAATAATAGGCCTAGGCCTATGCATTAAATATTTTGCCACATGTTAATATCTTATCTGTTTTAAATGAAATGCCGCCCACCGCGCATAGAATTTTACACAGAAAAATTTTCAGACTTTTTAGTCAGAGCCTGCTGACCAAAACTCTTTTTTGGGTTGAAAAACCCTGTTTACTGAAATTGCTCCCAAAATTTAGTTAATGAAATGGCAGTGACAGGATACCATTTATTTGATGGTATAGTTGTTTTAGTTTTTATTATAAAAGCATCTACTAATCTTCCCTCCTGCCAATACAATGTGTGTAGTAGAGAGTGCATGTCTGTTTCAGTGGTTTTGTTGTTCCATGTAAGGAGTAGAAGAATATTGAGTTGTTCGTTTAACAGATGGATAGTACAGGAGTGGGACCACTACTGTAGGCACCCTCTGACCCAATACACTCAATCTCAACACATTTTTATTTGATTTCATCGGGTTCATATCTTTGATCCTCGATCTCAACTCATTGGGGTTTTCTCTGAACTCATTTCAAATGATATCGAACACAACTTTTTTCTATCAGAAAGGTGAAGCATATTGGAATACACATTAGACTAGAGTATCAAATTATCAGACTCATGCTTAAAGTTGGGCTATACTTTCACCATTTCCTGTCTTAGACTTGGGACTATCACACAGAAATTATGTCACTCTTGGTAATTATGAATGTGAGGCCTCATTAGAAATGGAATGCTGTTTATTATTGTAAAGGATACAAATTCTATTAAAGGCCTTGGCTTGACTTAAGACCACCTTTTTAAATTTCATTAAACTGGCAGCATACTGAAGGCAACAGTCTAAAGGAATTCAAGTGTCATTATTTTGTTGTATTTTCCTTGGTGGCAAGACGGAAGAGGAAAACAAGGATTGAAGTTTGATCTCTAGACAATTGTTTTTCCTCTTCAAGTGCTTCAACAAAGACAAATATATTCGGGTGATAGCTATTGAAGCTCTTGGAGAAGTGGCAATGGAAGGATTCACAGCCTGTGTGCAAACTGATGTTCTGGCTGGCCCTAAGTGTAGGAGGGAATTTTGACGTGGGTTGTAAGTACTCTTTTTGCAGGTAGGTCAAGAAAACATCCACAGGTTGGCCATCTTCAGTCTGTGGTGCTTCAGCCGTTGATGCGAAATGAGAAGCATCTTCTACCCCACATTCAAACACTTGAAAATGTCAGAGTGTATTTTATCGCAAGACCAATTTATTCAACTCACTCGCTGCCGGCGCCTCAGCTCAGAAAAAGCCGCTGCATGCCAGATTTTTTTTTACCTTTTTCAAAATCCAGTTACTCTGTACTTATTATTTATGTTAGATTTATTAAATTTGGCAGTTTCAGTACGAGATGTTGAGCTTTACAGAACAGAAAGAATTCTGACTCTATGTTATTTTGTTCATATCATGTTTTATAGCTTTTCAAAAAATGACAAATTTTGGGAACTAAAACTTTTTAAAAGTAAGCCAAACTAGCCAGTACAATATTTTGCTGTTTTGATGAGAGCGTAGAAGTTTCTGTTCTAAAATACACACAAAAATAAGTAACAAAACAAAGAAAACTAAATTGATAAGTTTACGACGACTTGGGCTACACTATTTCAAGCGTCACTACTTGAATCATTAGTCGTCGTACTAGACTCAGTACTAGATCTAGTATTTAGTGCTAGATCTAGCTCCTATTGCTGTCGAGAGGTGATCTACCTCTTTCTCTCATCTCAAACTACCATCACTACCATTATTTTGCACTTCATCATCTCAATCTGAGTTCAATGAATCATAATGGATTCAGAATCTCTGAAACTACGAGCCGTTTTCAATTCGTATCGGCATGAGCGTTTTTCCGACTTCAGCTGCCAGACGTTCAAAACAAAACCCAGAAATAGGACAAAGGGAACTCCCATTCCAAAAATAGGCAGAACTTCAAGGGAAATCATTCTAATAAAGTGAAACTGTTCTGAGTGGTCAAAGGGACGTTACTCTAGTAATTGGGCTATGCCGTTGCCGCTTATGCGTCGGCAATTAGTAGAAATAAAGAGGAAAGTACGCCACCGACAGGGGTGCAGTAGAGGCCGTGAGCGGTCGTCGCCTTTTGACCGACACAGGCACGGCAACGGCAGTGATGTTCGCTACCCACAAATGCAACTAGAATAACAACTTAGTTATGGAGGAAGAGTCTCTGCAAAATTTGTATATGTTGCGATAATTCATGTATCATTTTATGCATTCGACACCATGGTGACACTCACCCATTGTCCATCCATAGTTTGCTTCAACAATGGATGCTAACCCAACATGTTGAGATAAGAGTAACCTATTTCAACAAATGTGCTAACATGCTGAGATCGAGTGTTCCCCTTCGACTACTCACAGAATGTCGGTTTCAGCGGAAAAAAGGGCTTGGTGTGAATTTCAAAATGTTTTGTTTACAATTTGAAAAGAGGCTTGCACTAACCTGACCCCTATAGAACACCAACAACAAAAGAATCAGTTATCACGACTATTTTTCAAATGTCATCTTTTATGAGAAAATCTGTAAAAATCAACTTCAATGTCAACTGCCTTTTTTTTGTGAAACTTCAATGTGTTGGCCAAGTCGTAGCGCAGTTGAGCTATAACAGTCACGTCAACACCCCAGTCAGACGCTTTCTTCAGTATATGCTGAAAGAGAAATTAAAAGTAAATTTAATAATGGGAAAAATATTAGACTTCAGTTTAGGTAGCTGCATATGGTACAAAGTACATACAGTGGAGTCTTCTTTTCTCTTTATCTCCAAGGATAACATTTGCTCAGATAACCAGGGGACCAATTTGCTCAATAAGTAATACTGGAAGGCAGCACAGGTGATCCTAGTTCAAATTCCCCCCCCCCCCCGAAGTATTCTTGAAAATAAGTTGAGTGGAGAATATTCACAACTTTCCTCCCATTTTCTTTGATCCTCTCAGAAACCAACATTAAAAGTTGAGTCTCTTAAATAACCTTACTACTGAGCTGAAGGGATTTGAAACCCACAGTTCAACTGTCTCTGTCAGTGAGGAGCAAGCACCTAACGAGTACATTATTATCATTACTTGCTAGACCAAAACCAAGGTTGAAATATTAAAAGAAAAATAAAGCTGAAAATAATACACATATCACATCATAGGCATCTTTAAACCACATGCAGGAATTTATCACAAGTCTTTGGAGTTATGCAGATGTATTCAAATAATATATTAATATATAACAATAATAATAATATATATCTATAACATTTATGTAGCGCATTTCCAAAAAAGTAGCTCAATGCGCTTTACATTGGAAAACCCATTTCCAAAACCTTTCTTACTACTTCCTTTCTTCTCATGCAATATGCACGCGTGCACACATGCACACGCACACACACACACACGCGCGTGCACACACACACACACACACACACACACACACACACACACACACACACACACACCCACACACACTATTTTCATTCAGACGTAGGCACAAAACAACTATAATAAAAAATAATGTTAAAAGATTATGAAGGATAGGCAATCTAAGAAGTCAACAGCAATACACATTTATGGTTAATTCAACAGTAGCCCTAGTCCAGACGGTAGGAAACTACTTTTGTATCTTTCTTTGTTTGTTCTTCGTGGTATGTGTCTGCCACTGCATGACCTTACAGTTAGTGTAGAAAAGGGGTGTGATGGGTGGTTTGTTTATAATGCTGTTAATCCTTTTCTCATCAGTTCTATATCAAAATCATATGTGAGGTGTGCTGACAAAATTAGTTACTTCTCGGGCTTCAGCCTTATGGAAATTGATATTGAACATGAACTTGATAGGTGAAGTTTGTACAATTTGTAGGCATGGAATAGTAAAAGACACAGTAAACTTGAACAAAATGGCAACAATTGAAAATCTATAAATCTGACCCCGGTGTCGATTTTCAGCCGATATCTCCATTCTTGGATCGTGAGAAGTAACTCATTTTGTCAGCACACCTCACATATTCAGAGATCGTGCTGGATTTCTTTATGATTCAGTCAAATTTTTCTGTCTTGCATCCAACAGTTTCCAGCCCAGCAGCAAATACAAAAAAGCATTACGCTTTCCATCATGGAATGGTAAAAAAAGGACATTATCTTGTCAACATGAAAACTTCTTTATTTCCCTTAAAAGAACTCTTTGATTTAAATTAAATTTTTATCCACAAGAGCAGCATGGGGATACCAGTCTAGATCATCACTTCATTTTGGACAAACTATTCTTCTTATTGTTATTCTGTGGCACGGGAGGAATACAAAACTTTCAACCTGTCAACAGTTCTCAAACCGCTTCTTGTGTTTGTAAAAACTAAATGAAAGGGACAGCAAAATTCTTACCTCTCGTGTTGAAGTTTTGTGTAAAGAGTACACACTGTTTGTAGACAATTTCAAACCTGCTTGCAAAAACACCATATCTATACCTGTAAAATTGACAGAAAACGAAATAACGAAATCAGTACCCAAAGAAACAGAACATAATATTATCCTGCAACCTCTCAGAGGTGTCATCATCATCCCAGACACTTTGAAACTTTTTAGAGATATTAAATAGCCTAGGGATGAACAGCATGGTGTCTATGGGGTTGTCACACTGCATGCACCCCCTCCCCCCCCCCACTCTAGAGCTGAAAAGGGAAAAAAATCATCAAAAGGATGGTTTACCTTAGCACATTAAAAAGGTTTCTGTAAACTGAGAATGAACCTGCTTTCATCAAAGCTGAAGAAAATGTCAACTGGCCATGATAATGGTAAAATTCTGTCAGGAACAGATAAGGAAAAAAAGGGGGAAAAGTGGTCCACACAAAAGCTTCAATCAATCACATGAAAACTGAGAAAACAGAGGCAGCTCATAATAAATATGTAACAGCCAGCAACAAAATTCTAAAACTCATTAAATAAAATCAGACAAGATAAGATAAATATTTATTGTCTAGATCCAGGCACATTGGTATGGTGTACCACCACGTACACACTCGTGCACACACACACACACCCATACACACATAAGTGAAGATCGGAAATGTTTAGTCTGTAAATATACAGTCTGACCTCATTATACAACCACCCCTCCTCCCCCCATCTCATTATACTACCACCAGGTTTTGCTGATGCACGAAAGGGAACACATATTCTAAACATACTATTTGCCCCTTTAAACTACTGTCCATCTGACTGGTACAACCTTTACTAAAGTAATCAAATTTGCCCTGCAACACCACCAGCCAACTGGCCATCAGAGGTACACATTGCATATGGCAACCACTCAGCAACAGCGCAATGATTATCTCCGAGAAACAAAAGACTTTCAGCTCTAAATACATGTAATTCACTGACAAAAAACTTTTCAAACACTGGTCACAAATCAAAATCATGTAGCTTAACATTATGCAGTCAGGGCTATTTAACAACAGAGGACAGCATTAGAACCCATTTATGCTGCCAGCCTCACTTTACTGCCAAATTCATGCTCGTCTCCAGGTTGGTGAGATAAAGAGGTTTTTGACAGTTTCTATACATGATAACAAGAAAATAAAATCCTCTTTTATACCTTGATTATGCTTGGTTCCAAAAGGTGGGTTCATGATGACAGTGTCAAATTTTCCATGGAGCCTGTTCACAACCTCTGAGCTCGCCAGAGACTTCACATCACACTCCAACAAATCTATATTGGTCATTTCAAACTCATCGAGATTCGCCGAGCAAGTTGCTAAAGCATCCTCGTCAATATCAATTCCAAGAACATATCTGACAAATAGAAAAGCATGACTATCACCATCCCATCAGTGAACAAGAAGCTTCAAGAAAACATACATAGGCAATTTAATAAGCATTATTTTGTAAACATGTCTGATGATAGCGAAGGAAAGTTGACTGCTTCATATATCACTAGATCATCTTGAAATTAATTCTTTAAACTGCAATTGTGCTTATTCCAAAAACTAAAACTGAAAGGGAGTCAAAGTCAAAGCCTTTTATAACACATATATTCATAGGGTGCATTATAAACATTTGGCTAGAAACGTGTAGACAACTGAATTTGACACCCACACAATCACATTATTGAACTTGCAATTAAAAGGAATAAAACTAACCCAGAGCCGAGCATGGAAGCTCCAACACTTAACACACCACAGCCAACACCAAGATCTGCAACAGTTTTGTCAACCAAATCATCGTACGTTGATGTTATTGTGTGAAGCATACAAGCTGAAAAGAGAAAAAAAAACCCTGATATTTACACCAAGATAGGCCACCAATATTCATGACATGCAATCGAATCTGTCCAAGATAACCATCCGTTGAAAGGAGAAAAGTGGACATATTTGATATGATCCTCTTGAAATGTCTTAATAGAAAAAATGCAAGAGGGGCAGGGGAAAGTGGTCATTTGTACAGATGATTTGACAAGTGTTCGTTAGAGCAGGTTCAACTGTATTTCAAAATTATATTTTTTCATTCAATATTGACAATGATTAGGCCACATTGGAACCAAAGAATCAAACACTTTTGACTGTTCTATAACCCTTACTGCAAGACATGTGCTTTTATGGAAGTAGCCGTATCCATTATAAGTGAACACTGATACATATATTTGATACTAGGTTCTGTATGAACTTTCACAAGAATATATATATATGTGAGGCAGTGTGGTGAAATCAGGCGCTCGTCAAAATAATCAAACTCAAACTGAAGAAACTGGCATTTCTCCCGCAGGTTTGGGAATTTTTATCGAGTTTTCGTTTTTTGGCTCAACATCTTTCATGCCCATAAAAGTTTTAAAGAATACATTTCTGTGTGGATTTTACTGAAAAACACAGATTAAAGGCATAATAGATGGAAATTTTCAGTTTCCATAGATCTCAAACTTTGGCAATAACGCAACTTTGGCGGCCATTTTCTTGCTAATTTGACCTCTGAAACCAGGCGACCCCCACCTTCTTCAATTGCCAATATCTTGACTTTTATCCAATATAAATGGACACTTTTTCCATCAAAAGCAAGGCAAATGGACAGGCTTTAAGATGATACCAATAACTTCATATGCCCCAAAATTGACGAGCGCCTGATTCCACCGCTTCGTGACACATGATATATATTATAAATAGGCACAAAGTGTTTCCCAAAAGAAATCTGCATCTGCCTGTTTTATTTCATACTTGTTCTCTAGTCCCGTTCTGTCATCTGCTTTCATCTCTACTTTCTCCCTTCCCCCACCCCCATTCTCTTCTCTCCTTTACTCCTGACTCCTGACTTCTACAGCTACTCCTGACTCCTTTTAACTGATGTCTTTCAGCCACACCCCTGATCTTAGTTTAGGTAACATTGAATACCTAGCCTTCTCAGATAACGGGAAGCTGCATACATTAAAGATCCCTTGGTCCTAAAATCAATAGTAAGAGTAGGCTTCAGCTACAACCCAAGCAAAATTCAAAATTAATTCCTACCAGGTCAGCATAAAAACATAGTGTATCTTCAAAATCAAAATGTGGCTGCCTGAAAACAAGGGGCCCTTCAAACTAGGAAAAACAGTCGCATAGGTAAAAATCAGTTGCACAGCAGGTTGAAGAACCAGCAGTTGACTGCCTCTGAGATCTAGCAAGATTTCATGCAAAGTGCCAAATCATTAACACACAGTACCAATATTACCTCATATTGGCAAATTAAAAATGTTAACGTACCAGCAATGTGAGGAGTAGTAGGGTACTGCTCCAATTTGACTTTGGGATTTTCAAAAACTTCAACATCTTGTAAGTATCCCTCTAGTTCTTTAAGCCTCATAGGTTTTCGAGCAGCAGCCATTATGATAGAATATCTTAATCTGAGGGGGAGATGAGACAGAAAATCAAACACATTTCTAAATGCAATATAGATATCTATGTGTAGTTGAAAATGTACAAGTGAAACATGCATAATGAAAAAATTAACTGTCAATTACTATTACAGTTTCAATATACAGTCAAACTTCGTTATATCGCTTACCTTGGGACGAGCATGAAGTTGACAGTGCTGTGGGGATGGCAGTACAATGAAGTATTCATGTCTTATGTTAAATACATGAAAGCACCGACTGCTCAACGTCAAAGGAACTTGATTATTATCGATCACTAGATGAAGTAATGCACTATCTCCCTGCGATCTGTCACTTAGACGTGAGCGAGAGTCTTCACTAAATAAAAGCCCCAGCCCAAAGCATTTTTCAGCCTGTAAGTTATTTTGGGCTGACTGGTGACATGTATTTTGACGGGGGGGAAGGAGATGGCAGGGTTCCTTTAAAGTTTCTTCGGGTGACTTAAAATTGAATTCCACTTTTTAAAAGAATACTGACCAAGGCCTAAAGATAATAAGCATATTTTCATAATTAGAGCATCACACGGGGAGCGAAATTTGATGCTGAAGTACAAAGTCATGCTTTGTTTTAATTGTACTCTTCTAAATGACACACAGTATTGTGTTCGCTTGCCACACACTACATCACTACAGATCTATCCATATTGCCTGAAATCTAAGACACAGACAAGGATGGGGAGGGAGCAAATCAGTGAAAAGCATTTGATCTAGACTTAGGCCTGGCCCGTAGAGACTTGTGAGTGAAATATTTGTAAAGCAACCATCCAGTGGATGTGCCATGTGTTGTGTGTAGCTTTGTGTGTACTGTGTGTGTGTGGCTCTGGCGGCCAGTTCGCTGGCAGTATAACGGAATAAATTTATACTTAGTCAAATAAGGACCGCACAACTGAGACAGTTGGTGGAGGGCAGTGTAAAGGTGCAAATACAATGATTATATAAGGAATTCTTTTCGTACATTGACAAAACCTGTCGGTAAGCGAGGCTGGTGGTTAAATGGGGGGCAGTACAATGAGCCTTGTTCAACTGTACTCAGTTAGGGGCGGTTACAATAATATTTGAAAATACAGTAATGAACAGAAAACAGGGCATCAGCTAGAAAAGTGACTGATCTTTCATTAAACTACATGAACATGAAACAAAAAATTTAATGTGTCCATATTTTTTTCCCCTTGCTAAGGAAAACAAATGGTTGAAAAAGTACAAAAGAATCTTCCAAATTTCTTAAAATTATAAGGGTCTGAAAATATAGAGTTTAAGGAGAATAGAGGTGAATGAAGACATGACTGATTTGACTGAGTTTATACACATCACATCCTCCAAAATGGGCATAGAATTTGAATTTAAAGATAAATCCTTTTATGACATTCTAGAGTTCATAAAAAGTAGATCTAGTATTTAATAAAATTTATGGTAGCGTTAATTGCGACAGAGTGATGCTGTGACAACTAATGCTGCGTTAATTGCGACAGAGTGACTACTTACTGTGACCCAAAAAAATTTTTTTAAGAAAAAAGAAGGTAAATTTTTACTTTTACTCCCGTCCCGCACACAGATGCACTGCTTTGGGGGTCAAAGTGCAGTATTGTTTGATGCAGATCACACATAAACTATGCTTATAAAGCCACCAAAACTGTCCCAAAACAATTATTTTTTAGAAAATTTCAAACCAAACATGTAAAATAATGTATCAAATTATGGGTTAAAACAGCCCCTGTATATGTAACCTCCCAGATTTTTTTAAATACAGGGGGCCCCCCTGAACCCCCCCCCCCCCCCCATTCTAGATCTAGTTATCTAGATCTAGAGTAATAAAGCTTGATTAAGAACAATCAAATATTTCAAAAACTATTAATTTCCAACAGAAATGAAGTTGATATTTGTGTTCAGCGCATCAATATTTAGTAGAAAATGGACAACTGGTGTTAAATGTGAGACGGGAGGAAAAGTAAAAGAATACCAAAAAGAAAAACAAACACACACAAACACACATGCACAGACTCGCACTCACACACACAGACAAACAAACACACACGTACGCTTGTGGCCTTATACACACACACACACACACACGCACGCACACACACACCAAACTAACAGACAAACAAAGACAGCCGCAGCTCTTTTCTTCTTGTTGTTGTTGCTGTAGTTACCCCTAGGGATTTTTGTTGCTGTTGTATGCTGTGATGTTTTGTTGAAATATTTGTTGCCTCGACTCAACTTTTCAGAAAGTCTTTGTAGATTTTTACCACACTCTTTAAGTCCGCCTTCTCAACTGTTTCAGTTTCAGGTGATTTCTTCCTAAAGGCAACCAAATTTTCATCTTTAAATATAGCAAAAAAGCTTTGTCAAATTCGTCATAAGATTTGAATGCCTGCTCTAGAAAGCCTTCCATCTTGTAAGGCTGAGACTAGCCGAGAATCGAGATAACTAGGACCACGCTGGCTGGGAGAAGCGAAAAAGGGAGACGATGTTATTTGTAATGTTAGATAGACTAGCCAATCTAGATCTAGATCTAGATATTAGATCTTATCACCAGGGCAAAAGAGTTTCGTGTTCACTCTGTCGAAATTAAGGCTGCGTTAGTAGTCACAGCGTCACTCTGTCGCAATTAACACTACCAAAATTTATTGAGCAAAAAAGAACACCAGAAAATTTTAACACCAAATTTAGAGGCAAAAGGCAACAAGTGATTATAATATTAATATATATGGCTTAAAATTAAGTATCTCTATCTGTTTGGGTGTTTCTGTGGGAGTAATGGCCTCCGTTCCAGTGGTGATCAAGTTATCGACACAAGCAGTTCTTGAGCTGCTAGCTTTAGTCTCAAGACCAAAAAGTCACTCAATGCAAAAGGGAATGGAACGTAAATCTAGATTCTAGATCTAATCTACATCTCTAGATCTAGAATCTAGATCTAGGAGAAACTCAGTCTCAGACTAAGCCATTTACTTGACAAGAGCTAAACTTCAACTCTTGACTGGAACACTGACACACTGTTGTGAACTTCATACATATAGATCTAGATCTAGCACATATGATAGCCTAGGCTGGGTTGTGTACGAGTGTGAGTTAGTTGAAGTGACTAGATTTCAAGGTCTAACCAATCTAGAGATAAACAGACGATTTCTAGCTCTACTAGATCTAGATCTAGATCTAGATGTAGATCTCGAGAATTAGATCTAGAATCTAGATCTAGATCTAGATCTAGATCTAGATCTAGATATAGATAGATCTTATTTATAAGAACTCATCCTCATCCATGAAATTGAGACTGCATGTGTTTCTACCTTCTTGTAACTTATCAAGTTATAAACGAACAATTATGACTAATCGAAATCAGGAAAAGTAACAAAATTGGGGCTACCAAATCAACGGGGACCATTCACCACCGAAACTCCCCAGCAGAGAGTCTGCTCCGCTGCCCAGTCTCCAACTTCGTCAGCCTCTTTACTTTCGTTTTCAGAGAGAAACCGGAAACCACTGACTGACCGTCTCAAAAACCCAAAGGCTACTTACTCTTGCTGAAAAAATGCTATGCCAGTTATTCCATTCTTGTTCGGAATTTTCACATTCTATGCACATTGGGTGGGTAATGTTGACTTGAAAACACATCTTAATTATTTTTTAAAAACACACATATTGTAAAACAAAGCAAGATAATGGTGATGAATACCACTGAAAGGGATTTATATGAAGTATGATTTATCAATGCAAATCTGAGTTGCCCTTTCATTTGAAGTTTTTGCCGAAATCAAATTGTCTGGCCAACCAACGCATTTGCTGTCGTCCATGCTTCGAAAACACAACGTTTAAAACCAAAACCAAAGAGGATCACTTGATAACGTTGCTTGTAGGTGTTTAAATTGGTAACGTCATAGATTTCGTTGTATAACTGTAATATTTTGAATGGCTTTACAAACTGTGCCTCATTACTTTTCTGGGTTCCTTTAGTTCGATCGTAAATATTCATTTCCTTGTGTGCCTTGTTTGCCTTGGCTTTGGAACTTGGGTTTATTTTGTCTCTGCTGACAGTGACCGTGCTGAGGTGTTGAGGAGACTTGGGAGTTGGGAGACCGGGTGGTGGTTGGATTCGGATTTGATACAGGACCTACATTTCTACTTGGTCATAGCCACTGTGCTAGAAAACCCAGCAAACAAAGTCTTTTTTTCTGGAATTCTTTTGTCTGCGCTAGATCTACCACCTCTAACTGTTACTGGGGACTGGTTGGTGGAGGCTGTGCGCACCATTTCACTTTCGGCGATTTTGTAGTTTCGTTCGTTATAGTCAAGAGTAGGGAGGTTTCAGCTGACCTTTAAAAAAATATGGAGGTGGGGGGGTTCAGGGGGGCATGCCCCCCTGAATTTTATCCTAATTTGATGTTTTGCAGTTAGGTTGCATCCCTGCTCTTTGTGTAGCCTAATTCAAATAGTATTTGGTCTTCAAGACTTCTGGATTTCTTCTCTGGATGTAAACAAATGGATCGTGGACTTTAACGAACGGAACTACAAGATCACCTCACTTTCTTATTAGCCTAATCTTACATAATTATAACTTAGTCTATAGTCTATAGATTAGTAATAATCTAGATATCTACTTGGGAAAATCACAATAAAATAGATTTCTAGATATACAGCATCATACGGGGCAGAATTTTTTAAACACTGAGATGATTGCAAGTCAGTAGGCCTATGGCATTAAGAATGCAGAATAGTCATTTTTTCAACTAAAATTTTCAGACCTGTCCTGGCCAGCGTAGCACTGGTACCCAGTACCTGCACTGAGCGATTTCGCTCCATACTGTAAAGGACTGAGAGTGCTCCCTGTATTAGGGTAATAAACTTTTTGGAGTTTCTCATTGCGGAAGGAAAGATCTAGAGGCTACTACAAAATAATCCAGACCTGCCTTTCATGCCGATTTTTTACTACAAATGTCAAGCATTCCGATTTTCCCAATTTTGATTACGCATATTCTGATTTTTTGTTTGTCTCTTACGACTGACCCAAAAAGTCAAACCCAAACAATAAGACTGCGCCTTCTCTTTAAGACCGGAAGCACCTGTAAGACTCAGAAAGAACTTAGAATGCTATTTTGTAGAATAATGATACTGGATCTATAGTAGAAGACCCGGGCAAGTGATTTCTTATAATCGGACAAAGTACCTCTAAGTACATGATAGTAAAGTATCTTTGAATCGGAGTAGTATTGATCTGGCATTCGGACTTTGACACGACTCTAGATCTACTTTCGCTTTTGTTACCAACCAGAATTTTCAGATGGCATCCCGATAACTTAAACAACTATGACATGCGAATGATCAATCAGCTACTCCTTTAAATTGTTTGAAACGGGTGTTCGCATTACATGACATTACCTCCTGTGAGTACCGCGTGCGTGTGTCGGAGACCTTCGTTTGTCGAGGTCAACAAAGTGGAGAGTGAATGGCCACCCCTGGAAAATTTTGTATCAACTTGGCAGGTGCCCTGAGTGATTTGTCATTGATCCTGATTTTTTTCCCCAAATCCTGATTTTTTCCCCCCCGAAATCTTAAGTTTTAGATTTTATGGAGTGGCAGGTCTGAATAATCCCAAATGGAAGACTTCCAATTAAGAACAAACTGATGTTTCTTCTATTGAAACTGTTTTTAAGCTGGTATTTTACATATATTTCAAGTTTAAAAAATGATAATTGAAAACTTGTAAAGCTGTTTTTAAAGGCTTACTATTTAAAATCCAAAGCTGAAAATACCACTGGATGCGGCATTTAAAGCTCTACAGTACTTTGCCTTTGAAAAGACAGTATATGCCCTATTTAATTGATCATCAATCTTTCTACAAAGCATTCAAAAGCTTGGGTGCTAATTTTTTTGACGGGTTGATCTTGCATTCTGACGGCAAGGAGCTTCGGTTTCCCCAGCTCAATAGTTTATTTTTGTCCATATTTTAAATAATTATACAAACAAAAGTATGACACTAATTGAAAATCTGTCTTCCCCTCCATGATGATAAAACACCACATAAAAATTATAAATAGTACACATGATATATTATGTGTAAAATGTTTCTTAAACAACCTTGAAATACCTGCAGCTGGGGTTAAAATTGAGATGTCATCCCCTGGAAGTCCATTGGTTGTAAAATGTGATATTATATATATAGTAACGATAATAACAGGCATCATGCATTATAATTGGAAGAAGTAGAGATATATTTAATTGTAAGATAAGAAAGTACGTTTTAACAAGGGGCCTTTAATCATTATGTGTCCTGTCATTTAGACCATGATCAGTTGACTTTTCATAATTTGTTGTATAATTGGCATACAAAACACAAAACATACAAGGCTTAGACAAGCACAAGCATTAAAGTATTGGTCATCTCCTATTCTCTAAAGTGTAGCTGCGTGTGTCACTTTTTACAAATATAAATTTAGTTTCTAATTTAACAAAATCTGTCATTCTAAAATCCATTGTTATGCTCATTTGTGCTCCGTATTCTAAAAAAATGGCATTTAGTGGAGGGGGACAGGGGGCTGACTCAGCAGCAATTTGAAAAAAGTTTAAATATATATAGCCTTAAGCAATTCAATTCATTCTCAACTTTTATGATAATTTTTATAGTATTGCAATGCTATTTTTAAAAATTCAGGTTTACCTCTGTCTTGTTTTTCAGAGTAAAGACTAGTCATTCAAGATGGATGCAGATTTGTATGATGAATTTGGAAACTACATAGGACCAGAATTGGACAGTGACGACGATGATGATGACGATGAGGAGGAGGAGCAAGAAGATGATGATGATTATGTCGACAGAGATGTATGTTTTTGTTTGTTATTTTTTTACACGACAACCTATAAAAAGTTCCTCAGTAAAGTTTGCATGAATACTTTGTCTTTGGGGGTTTTTTTTCGGCATGCTACAGTAATCTCCGCCGAAAAGCATGCTCCACTCAAATGCTCGTTTTTGTTATATGACATGTTTTTTTACTCTATAATTGAGACATACGAATGCATGGTCTCTGCCTGTAAATGCACGTTTGGTTCGCGAAATACACTGATGTGTAAAGCTTGACAGGAGGACATTTTTGCTGCAACCCTCACAGCTTGCATGAGACAAGTGTAGACAACCGGATATTCGACGAGACTGCCCCTTACGCAGAACAAAAAATGTAGTAGACAGCGTTTTTATACCCAACTGTCAATGAGCACATAGGTTAAGGACTGGGCGAGCATTATGTTTGGGGAAGGCATTGACTATTATTTCTTTTGATTGGTCGCTCGAAACACGTCCTTAGGTGGGGGGGGGGGGGGGTTCTCATTGGTGTTCGTGTGACTGTAATGTTAAAAACACTGGACAGGCTATAGGATAGTATTATTAGTCTATTGATTTGCTGTGCTTAAAGAACTTATAAGGTACTTGTTCAACGAATCGCTTTAGAATAATAATAATAATAATAAATAGCATTTATACTGCGCATTTCCATTTCCTAAAAGATGCTCAATGCGCATTACAATGAAAAAGACATCACATCTTAAAAATTAATCGACACAAATGTGTACGTAAAACAAAGTATTATACATATAATATAAATGCATATGTGTAAAATTTTATACCAGAAAAACAGTCTCGCAGTGAGGTTGAAAATGTGTTCACTAAAAATATACAATGCAATAAAAATTCACGAACAGTCAAAATACAGTTGAAACGTGAGTAACTAGAAACATTCATTAAAACATTAATTCTATACAGATAGAAAAACATTTCCACTCTATCTCTCTCTCTCTCTCTCTCTCTCTCTCTCTCTCTCTCTCTCTCTCTCTCTGTCTGTCTGTCTCTCTCTCTCTCCCTCTCTCTCTCTCCCTCTCCCTCTATCTCTCTCTCTCTTTCTCTCTCCCTCTCTCGCTATCTCTCTCTTTTCTCTCTCTTTTCTCTCTCTATCTCTCTCTTTTTCTCTCTCTCATTCTCACTCGCTATTTCTTCAGTCTCACAGTCTGGCATACACATGCATATATATCACAGTACATCATTATGACAGGTATGCTTTTGTGAATAAAAAATGCTTCAGCTGATTTTTGAAAATGGTCTCTTACAATGTCTTATGTCATCCTTGCATTAAAATTTACTGAGTTGCAATGGATGACACATAGTCATGAATGATGGCTTGGAAATCTGTGTGGCTGAGCTCTCTTGATAGCACCAGCAGTTTCCTCATCTGTTCCTTGCATGTTAATGCATTTAAAATCAGTATAGTGAGTCGGCCTTTCTGCTTTTTTTCCACCGCTCATTCAACGCCTTTTTAGTCATAACTGTGATCTGGGAATCCTTTACTGGCTTCACAAAAGTCACTTTTTGTCACCTTGTTGGTGAAAGCTACCCCATATCCCCTAATTAGGTTACTAAATATCAAGGAAATGAGATGGTTGCGTCCCTTCCCCCGTTTGCACAGGTTCACATAAACGCAGACTCCATGTAAATGCCCACTTATAAGCCCTACCGAGGGGCGACTACTGTAGTAGTTCTAATTTATTGATTAAAAATCTTTACTGGTCTAGTCTGAATTGCTCACAGTAGCTTGTGTGAACACAGCATACTTTTGACACACTGGTCGTAGCGCGTGAATGTTATTACTGTTAAGTTTTGTGAAACTGAATTATGAATTGCTATGAACGAATTGCTAATGTTTTGTTTATATGCTCATGAATAACACCAACCCCTCTTTTTTGGGCATGGTGGGAGTTCTACATAGACACCCTGGGACTAAATCAATTAATACATGTGTGTGGAAATCATTGAAAGCAATTCTTTAAAATGTAATGCGTCTTATTCTAGTCATTGCTGAATATTTTCTTGGATAAAATACCACAAGAGTTTTTTTTCTTGTCTTCACAATATTGTTTTTACATCCCAAGGATGAGGATGACATGGACCAGGATGCTGTGGACAACCAAGCAGATATGCAAGTTGTTCTTCATGAAGATAAAAAGTACTATCCAACACCTGAAGAGGTGTATGGTCCTGAAGTTGAGGTAAGTTGGCTGTAACTGAACATTACTTAGCTCCAAATCTGTTGTATTTTTCCCTTTTCTTAAATACATTTAAATATATTTTATATCCCAAGCACTTCACATTTGGAGGGAGAATTAGATATTTTGTATCTGTATTTATTTTTCTTGGATTTCTAACTTATATGTTTAGTATCAATGTCTCTGTTATTTTTTATTCCTGAATGTAATATTTGACATTTTGCATTTTCAGACTATAGTACAAGAAGAGGACACACAACCACTAACGGGTGAGTTTTCTTTGCTGTATTCTTTTTGACTTGCTATGGGAGGACATTTTAATCACAATATTTATTTAGCACCATTATGTACAGTCAAGCTTGCTCCAATGGCCACCTGTTTAAGACAATGACCTGTACAAATGGCCACTTCTCTCTCCACCCCCCCCTTTTTTTTTTTTACATTATAGTGACAATGTTTAAGACAGTCTCATGTCTAAGACAACACTTTTCTCCTCTACAATGGGTGGCCATCTTGGACAATTAGACAATTTTGACTGTATTTGCCTTGTATGAAAACTTTGTAATCTCATGCATGATTCCAAACGTTATTTGCGACCTCCATTTTATTATTTTCATAATTGATGTGATTGATGATTTAAATTTATTTGATTTACTTTCAGAGCCAATCATTGCTCCTGTGAAGAATAAGAAATTCAGCATGGTGGAACAGAACTTGCCAATGACAACGTACAACATGGAGTAAGTGCCTTTCTTCACTGGAAATGTCTGATTTTGTATATCAAAGATATGTATATGCTTGTTCTTTTCTTACAAAACACACATTCTCTGTACTCTTGTTCTCTTATTATCATGAACACATTTCAACTGTTTGGTGTAAAACTCCGTTTTGCGCCACTTTGAAAAGTGACATATGATGGAGTCATACACAGAGCAGTTGATTTGTTGCTCTGTTCTTTAATTTTGGAGTGTGTGTGTGGGGGGGGGGGAGGATTCAGAACAGCCTCTTGTACGAATCACTCTCATGACATTACTTTTTTTTTTTCCAGTAAAAATATAGTAGAGCTATTTTGTCTTTCTTTTGTGATGTTTCTGTTATATTTACTTTTTAATTCTTGTCTTTTTTCCCCCTCAGATTTTTGGCAGATCTAATGGACACTCCCAGCCTCATAAGAAATGTAACCGTCTGTGGTCATTTACACCATGGCAAGGTTAGTTATTTTTGCTCACGGCCCATGTGTTTTGTCTGTGTTGTTCCCCAAAACCTCTGACACTGAAGAGAGTCACTGAAGTTATCGTCATTTTTCCATTAATTTGTTCTACTTTAAAAAGTTTCTCCTTTACAGTTATTTCAAGTAAAATGTCGATCTAGCAGGATCCATATTTGCCTGATAAGACCTACTGTCTATGGACAAGTTTTTTTTTCTCTGCATACCTTACCAGAAAAATTAAGTTAGCTGTCAAGGTTACATGCTTGGTTTTGCTGGTGTCTGAGCAGCATAATACACTGACTTTAGCTAACGATTTATTTTGGCAAACTGGAAGGTTCAGTCAGTGATGGCCATTAAAAGAGATTGTAGAGTTAACGGAGACAGATTTTTTAGCACCTTAACCAAACTAATGACCATTAATTGATTTATTTGTGTAATTTATTATTTTAAAATATCTGCAGACATCCTTCGTTGACTGTCTTTTGGAGCAAACCCACCCTGAGATTGTTGGAGACTATGACTCGGATGTGAGTGTGACTATACCTAATTATGAGAACTCCGATAAGAAGTACTTGCCGGTTTGTTTGGCTTTTGGGTTTTTTTCCAGTCCCAGAAGGCATCTCATTTTTTTTTTAATGTGTTTAAAGGATAGTTAGTGTACAGCATTTAATTGGAGGAGGGATGGACGTTTTTCATATTTGCTTGTGCTGTTGATTTGCAACATACCAGTCAATATAATATTCATTCAGTGTCTTGTATTTGATCTTACATACTTATTCACAACTGAAAATGATGTTTTGCTGAACCTTTTCGTATTTCTTGTGCTTTCTAGATGAGGTACACAGACACACTGTTCACAGAACAAGAGGTGAGTAGCAGAACCAATTCTGTGTCTACTACCATGTTCAAGTTTGTGTTGGGTCCACTTGGCCAGATTTATATAGATTCTTCACATCCTAGGGTATTTAATTGTTTAACATTCTTATCTAGCTCAAAATTAAAAGTGAATGCTTTGTACTGTGTACCACACAGTAAAAGGTATTTTGTTTGGTACTCTCACTGGCCTGCAAACAAAGGCAGAAATGATTAAAGGAACAAAGGAAATATCTGCAGCCCACAAGTTTGTGCACCACTTGTTTCTAACATTTCTGTCCTCTTGAATGACAATGATCCTCTTGTTGGTTTGGATAATTGTTCAAGTTCACTTAGTACTTTTCATGAATAATTGTTTTATCTTGAAATGGAAATGTGTTCATGTTTATCTTAACTGTCCTTATTGTTGTTGTACCTATATTTTAGTTTCTAGTATTGCATTGCATTTTCAAAGTAATGATAAATAAATTTTTTACTTTATTTTATATTCCAGCGAGGTGTGAGCATCAAGTCGACACCAGTGACACTGCTGTTGCCAGACACCAAAGGGAAGTCTTTTCTGCTCAATGTCATGGATACACCAGGTACATTTTCCTTGTTGCCTCTTATATTATTTTTTATTAATTACCACTTTTCAATTATAATAATTGTCCTATATAATGTTTTTCTTCTCTGTTTTTCTTAAAGCAAGGCCATACATCTTCACAAATGCAGCTCAGTGTAGTGTGGTGAAGTGAAAAAAAAAAAGATCAACATTGCATGAGTGTGCTGGTATCAATTCAAATGAAATAGATGGTTCTTACTTTCCTTTTGTAACCAATAGTCATAGCCAGGGCAGGACTGGTGTTTATGTTATGATGGTTATGGTCTTTGCCATTGCATGCAGATGGCGGGAATTGAGTTCCTGTGTGTAGAAGTTGACTTTATCGAGTACCTGTGTCTATCTTCTGGGGTGCTGTATGATCAGGCAGGGTCAAAGTAGCCCGCCACGGAAAAGATGTAAACTGTGTTGATGAGGGCATAAGTCATTTACGTACAGTGCAACTAAGGCTAGCAGTTTGTAATGTATTGCCTCGTTCTATTCCCCAGGGCATGTGAACTTCTCCGATGAGACAACAGCTGCTTTTAGACTCAGTGATGGAGTGGTCATCTTCATTGACGCTGCTGAAGGAGTGAGTGTTTCACTATTGTGGGATGTAGTTATTGTCCCGAAAATCCTTTATTTTTCCTGTCAAAGGGTTTTTTCTTCTGTGAAAGAGTATAGAGTATTTTTGGTCTTTTTATCCTTTCCTGTGATGTTTACTTCCCTCAGAAGAAGGATTTGCCTTGCATTTGGTGGTTCTTGGGTTTGAGAAGCCTCAACTAGTGACATTTACCTGGATCTATCATAACTTTTTTTACTGATGTCCTGTATTTCAGATGATGCTGAATACAGAGCGCCTGATTAAGCATGCGATGCAAGAACGGTTGGCTGTGACCGTCTTCATCAACAAGATTGACCGACTGATTCTTGAGCTGAAGCTCCCACCTCTGGATGCCTACTTCAAGCTGAGGCAAATTGTTGATGAGGTCAACTCTATCATCAGGTAATGGGCCCTGTCTCCTTGAAAACATTTTTATTGTGAATGTTTTACAACACCATGAACACAATTTAGATCGTTCTGGAGATAGGCTGCTGTGTACCTACCTGTTAAAGCCAACCTGGGTTGAGTGGAATACAACATCCCATCAGAGAGAAGAGATATAAATGCTCATGACAAAATAATATTTTAGATGGGAGTCAACACTCGCGTCTTCTGCGTTTAAAGGTGAAAGGCCAGATCATTAAAGCTTTGTTTTCGAGAGCACTAGTGCTGCTAAATGGAGATTGTCATTTTTTAATTGATCCACTACTCCTGTATTTTGCAAAGATCTGTTCTAGTTGCTAGTAATTAGCTCTGTATATATATCCAGAATGAAAGGGTATACAGATGTTGGTAGAACAAAATTGTAACAGTGTCCCATTTTTCTTTCTTTTATAGAAATGTAAATTCTTTTGTTAAGTTTTACTTTAAAATCTAGAGGGAATGAAGTAACTCCCCTGTGATGGTCAGTATGTTTGTTCTTGTTCTCGGCCACAGCTTGTATGCAGAGGACGACACCAATCAGATGGTCTCACCCTTGTTGGGCAACGTTTGTTTTGCCAGCTCCTACTATCGCTTCTGCTTCACCCTGAAGTCCTTTGCCAAGATCTATGCTGATACATATGGTAGGTTAAAGGTCTCAGTTGAGTTGAAGGGTTATGGTTGTGCTGTGGTGTTGTTTTCTCCCAGTACTTTGAGGTAGCATTTCTCTTGTACAAGTCTGTTTGTAGCGAATGTGTCAGCTATTGTCCTGAGTCAGCAGTAACTTTCACTCAGTGATGACGTTCGGATACATATCACTTTTGCTCTCAACGGGCAGTTGGAGGGGGGCACCTTTAGTCCTGCTTCTTTTCCTTCAATATTTCAATATTTGTTGATTTTCCTCTTACCAAGTGACTGTTATCATGTCAATTTGCTTCTCTTTACTCAAAAAAACTTTCTCTTCAGCTTTTGATGGGACTGAATTTAGTTATGTTCATTTCAGATTTAAAATGCTGTTGAGGTTCCAGTGTCTGTTCTGAATACCATAGGTGTCATTCCCCCCC